GAGAGATTTTTTGAAGTTGAGCTGGGATAAGAAGAAGGGAGCATGGCTGTGCCTTTTGCCCTCGAGGAAGGAAGTAGGAGTCATAGGGTAGGAGGTGAAGTGATTTCCTCTGGTGGCCACTAGGTGGTAGCATCGGCCTAGGTCAGCTTGATTATTCGGGTTGATGCCCATATTGAGCCACCTGTGGTTCATTTGTAGGGTTTATTCACAGATTAGGTGTTAATAAATCAGGATTGCTTTTTTTTTTTAACTGAAACTTGTGCTCTTGAGTTAGAGGTCTAAATTGTTATTTTTGAAAAAAGGATATGAAATAAGCTTAACACTTTGTTTTAAGATGACCAAAGTGGAATTGAGTTGCTTTCTGGCTTTGTCTAATGGAGAAGAGTATAGTGCTCTCCTTCATTTCTGTCTGTGGTTCATGGGCTTGTGAAAGAACAGAGTTCCCCAGGTCTGCGTGTAGACTCTTAGGAAATAAAGCATCAACTCTCCCCCGTCCCAAGCTCCAGCGCAGACAGGGATCCCAGAAGGAACAGTGGTTGAAGCCTTGTTATCCAGCCCTACCCACGAGGGCTCTGGTGTCCCACATGCCCCAGATTGCCACACCCCAGGCAATGTGCTCCTGCCCTGGGACTTGAGTTTGTAGAGCAGCTGATAGGTATGTTACACATTTATTGTATCTTTTAACGTTAACTTAGCCGTCTTTATTAAAAATTTAAGAAACAGAATATCTATATACCTATAAGGTATTTAAAATCAGGATTGCCTACAAAATCCAGAATCTAATGGGCACCTGATGGATTAGAAGCTTAGCATTATTAGTAAAGTGGCTTTTATTGAGTACCTGCTCTGTGTCTCCCATTGTGTAGGCACTTTACATGTGCTAACCCTAACCCTCATGGTATGTGCTGGGCCCCTACTGTGCACCAAGTGAGATGTGGCCTCCTCCTTTATGTCGGATAAGAACTGTAGTCACAGTAGAACCTCTGTTGTGCAGAATAGGTACTGAAGCCATTAACTGATTGATTGATTTTGTTTTTAAAAATGAAGAACAAGCTTGGCTTCCATATTATGAAATGCATCAGTTGCAGCCATAATCACTTGGGGTTGGGGAGGCCGGTGTGTTCCTGGTTGGGTTGTGTGGCTTTGTTTAGAATGAAGAGGCTTATAAAGGAAGCCATAGAAAGCCCGAGTTCCCCAATTGCTGTGGTACAGGAAACAGGGCAGTCAGTCAGCACCCATTGTCTTGACCCGATTGTTTAAGATAGAATTTCAAGACAATCTGAAAACACATGGTTCAGTTACATGGTTATTCAGCGTGAGGCTTGCTCTTATCAAGGCTTGCTTTAGGAACAATTGTGGGAAGAACATTTCTGCGACTTTCATGAAATTCCTCTTTAAGACATTGTCATTAGGTTTCGAGCCCCTTTATATAGAGAGATGGATGTGTCTCTTCTGGGTTGCTGATGTCCTTTGTCAGCTGGCTACAAGACTGTGCCGGGAAGCACCATTAATCATGGTCAAGTTAGTAAGTCCCACTGGTACCCATGCTTGTGCCAGCTACACAGAGCTGCTCAGGTGAGGGGCAGTTTGAAGATCAGTGCCTGCAATGAGCACGTCAGTCTGCGGTACTTTCTCTTGGAAACTCTTGACTGACATCACCTTTGGCTTTTTCCATCCAGAGTCATGGCGTGTCGAGCTCTTCGTTTGAGCTGTTCTGAGGAACGGCCCTGTTGTTTCATGCGTGCACCCTCAGTGAATGGCTTAGATTCCATGGAACCCATATTCTGAGTGTGACCGTCCAAAACACATCCTGAGGTTCCCTAAAAAACCACTCTCCTGGCCATTGGCTGCCTGGCCCTTCCTTTGAGGGCTTCCCAAAGGGAAAGTCATTCAGTGCCACACCCCACGATGCTGAATCACCATCTACGGGTGTGGCCAGGACAGGCCTTTTTTTTTTTTTTTTTTGGAAAGCACCCCAGGTAATACTGCTGTGCACCTCCCACTAAGAACCACACTCAGAATGATTCTATTGTATCTTAAAAAATAAAAAATTATAGCCCACCTGAAATTCTTAGACAAAGATTAAACAGTTTGACATTTTAAATGCAATGTGGTTCAAGCATTACGGAACACATTTGTTGTCTTTTGATCACTTTTGGCATTACTCAGAAAACGCATCCCTGCTCCTGATGACATTTTTGTTGGAAAGGGCAAGGTGGAGGTGGTGGGGTGGGTGGAATTGTATAAGTGACAGAATGAGTTTTCTTCCACTGCTGGTTCCAGGGACTTCTGTTATTAATATTTGAGATTTCCCCATCCCTGACTGCAGGAGGATGGATTTATGTCGGAGCTCCTTCAGTAGGATAAGGGGCCAAGACCACCCTTGTCTCCTGGAGCGTCCACCTCCTTTGTAGTTTACCTTCCTGCTGATCGGCTATGCCTCCGTGATTCCCTGAGGCTTGATTCTCAGGCTCCAGTCCACCTTGTCCTCACCCCTTCCTTGCTACTGATTCCCAAATCCAGATCTCTGGCCCTGCCTGACATTGAGTGCTGCGACTTGTTCCTCACTGTGTGGACCCTGGATCAGAGGCTGCGTTCCATGCAGACTGTAGGGCCTCACTCAGCCCTGCTTGAATCCTAGTTTGCATCTGATCAAGATCCCCAAGGGGTCTCTTGTGTCCACGTTACAGTGTGAGGAGTCCTGGTCTACAGGATGTCCCCACCCTCATTCCATCCTCCTTCCTGCTCCCACCAACCCAAGTTAGTCTGTCAGGTAGCACTGGTTTTTTGGGGTTTTGTTTTTAAGATTTTATTTATTTGTCAGAGAGAGAGACAGCGAGAGAGGGAACACAAGCAGGGGGAACAGCAGGCAGAGGGAGAAGCAGGCTCCCCTCTGAGCAGGGAGCCCGACGTGGGGCTCAATCCCAGGACCCTGAGATCATGACCTGAGCCAAAGGCAGACGCTTAACTGACTGAGCCACCCAGGTGCCCCAGGTAGCACTGTTTTTCCCATGCTTCATTTTTCATTTCATTCTTCCTTGTACTGATTTGTTCAGCTGCTTATTGACTGCCTCCCAGAGGCAGGTGTTGGGAGATGCAGTGAGCGAAACCAGACGGGGCTCCTACCCCTGTGAAGCTTGGCTTCTAGTGGCAGAAGCAGACATTAGGTACACCATCAGCTCTAGCTGTGGAATTAAAATGAGCAGAGCATTGTAGAGGAGAGCTTGTACCGCAAATAGAGTAGTTAGGGATGCCAGGGAAGGCTTTGCTGAGGAAGTGATGCCTGTGCTAGGTCCTGAAGCCGGAAGAGGAGCAGAAAGAACTTTCTAGGCAGAGGGAATAGCACGTGCAAAGGCCCAGCTCATCATAGAAAGTTTACAGAGAATTAATAAAAAGAAAGAACATTAAATTGCACTTAAGTCCTTCATCTTTATCTGTTCTTCCATCCAGCCTCGTTAGATTTACACCTTGTCCATTCCCTAAGCCGAGGAGCTAGCGCAGACCCGTGGCTGTCCTGCCTGCATGCTGCGACCGTGTGCTCAGTTGCACACTTCCTCGGTCTTTTTTAGTCTACTGTTCTACAATTACATTCGCTAGGGAAGCCTCTTTCCTCACCGTTCCCTGAATACACACCATAGTTGGATTTTAAACTAACTTCTCTGCATACACGTGTTACTTTAAGTGAACCTGATATTGAAATATATAGAAAAGTACACAGATAGGTATAGAGCTTGATGAAGCTTCACAAAGTAAATACACCGGTCTCATCAATACCCAGATCAATAGGTAGAGTGTTCTAAGCATCCCGGAAGACTGCTGACACACACATACACACCCCTACCCCTCATCCCTTCCCACAGCTGTAACCATGCTTCTGTCCTCTGTTAGCCTTGATCAGTTTTGCCTGTTGCTGCACTTTATTTATGTAAATGGGTTCATGCTGTCGGTAATCTGTTGTGTCCGGCAGTTTTTGTTCAGCATAACAATAGAAGAATCCATTCGTTTTTGGCCTAATGGTCATTCATTTATTTCCTTTGCTGTATAGCTGTGTGTGGTAGGAGTCTACCATAATTTCCCCATTCTGTTGATGGGCATTGGAGTCTTTTTCAGTTTGGGGCTATTATAAAAATTCTCATGCATGTCTTTTAATGGATAGATATAAATTTTTCTGTTGGGAATATGCCTAGGAGTGGAATTACATCACGGAGTATACATATGTTCAGTTCTAGTAAATACTGCCAAACAGTTTTCCAAAACAGTTGTGCTAATTTTCAGTCTTACCAGCAGTGCCTTTAAGTTCCAGTTGCTGCACACTGTGGCCAACACTTGGTTTTGTCAGGTTTCGTTGTGGCCACTCTGATGGGTATGCGGTACTATTACTTTGTGGGTTTTAATGTGCATTTCCTTGGCAACTAATGTCGTTCCCATTTTCTATCAGATTGCGTGGTTTTTCTCATATTGATTTGTGGGAGCTCTTTATATATTCTTTGTATTGCACACATATTGCAAGTACCTGTGTGGATTGTCTTTATTATTGAGTGGTGTCTTTAAATTTAATAAATAGAAGTTATTTAACATAGTTTATTTTACCAATAAGTGTCTTTGTATTTTAGATCAATTTTTATACCACATTTAGTTCTGTAAAAAAAATAAAAAATAGGAGTAGAATACACAAATATATCAAATATATATTTTTTAAAAAGTATAAAAAATTAAAAGCCTGGGAAATATAAATTAGATTTAGACCAGGGAGATAAGACACACAAATAAACCGTATAATTATATTAACATGTTATAATTGAGCAATAAATTTTGCTTAGAGACACCTAGAAGTCAAAACTCAAATGGAAACATGGTGTGTTATCTGGTTCTCATTTATCTGTGAGTTCTTCAGTTTATGAGGGTCAAAGCAGGCAAGGGATGGGTGCACTGTGAGGAGGATCCACATGTAATGGGTAATTTGCTTGTCAGAGAGCTAACAGGTATACCTTCTGTTACAGGTTATTCAGCGATAGTTATGACCTCCCGGTTACGTGCGTTGGGTGGAAGAATTAATAATATACGCACCTCAGAATTACCCAAAGAGAAAACTCGATCCGAAGTCATCTGCAGCATCCGCTTTCTAGATGGCTTGGTACAGACCTTTAAAGCTAATGTAAGTTCTCCAAATTTAATTTTTTCTGAATTTATGCCACTAAGAAATAATTTTTCTTCATTTTATAAACCAAGAGATGAAAACTACTTTAAAATGAAAGCTTTGGGGGGTACTGGGTGGCTCAGTTGGTTAAGTGTTCGACTCTTAATATCGGCTCAGGTCATGATCTCAGGGTCCTGGGATCGAGCCGCGCATTGGGCTCCACACTCAGCATGGAGTCTGCTTCTCCCTCTCCTTCTGCTCCTCCCTCTGCTCGTGTTCTCTCTCTCTCTCTTTCCCTCTCTCTCTCATAAATAAAATCTTAAAAAAATAAAATGAAATGAGAGATCTCAGATCTTGTATGTTGAGATTGGACTGGAAATAACCCTAAAAATTTTGCCCACATTCTTGTTCACCTGGAGTGTCTTTCGGAACCCCTCTTCTTGGTGACACGAACTGAGAGACCCTTTGATGTTACTTCTGTGACATCTTCATCAGCTTCCTGAATTAGTTATCCCATAATGGTGCCCTGTATGCTTTATTAGAGCCCATGTCACATTTCATTAATAGTAATTATAATCTCTAGGTTGTATGTTCTTTAAACCGTGAGCTCCTTGAGAACAGGAATAGTGTCGTTTCCCCGGGGCCTGGTCCTGAGCCAGGCACACAGCAGGTGCTTCTGACATGTGTGAGGGGATGGGTCCGATCTGGAGGGTGGCGAGACGGCTCCACTCATAGATGGCAGGGCTCAGGGAGAGCCTGGCATCTCCCACCGCAAGCCTACGACAAGAGGCAGGGCTGGAAATTCGGCCTCCATCTCGGGCCAGCAGTAAGGTGCCTGAACCGTAGCAGTCCATGCTGCCCTGCCCTACCCCAGGCAGTGCTTAGGCTAATGCCCTCTGCCTGTCTCTCTGGAGGGTGTCTCGCTGGAAAGTTCAGTGTGCAAGGAAGGGGTCAGAAAGAGAAGACGGGGTAGGAAACAACCAGGGGTAACAGAAGGCCATAGGACTGGAAAGGGTAACAATAACTGGCCCCTGGGTCTTCCACCCCACCCCTAAGTTTGCCTCCCACTGACCCCAGCTCACTATGGCCCTTTTTAGCCAAGAAGCCAGGAGGAGATGTTTGCATGAAGTCACAGCGTGGTGGGTGCTCCGAAAAGGTCACAGGTGTCTCTTTCAGAGGCTGTAAACTGACAGTATATGGCTGGCTCCTTTGTTGGTTTGGGAGCTCTTCCTTTGCTATTTATCTTCTTCCTGACAAGAATGTGAATGTTTATCCAACAAATGTTTCCTGAGCACCTACTATGTGCCAGACTTCATGCTGGGTATAATGAATACAGCAGTGAATGGAACGGCGAGGTATCTGGCCTTTCAAAGCTTACATCCAAGTGTGAAGAAATGGACCATAAAGAAATGTATACTTTGTCAGGCGGTACGTGCTTAGAAGAAAAGTAAAGTGGTATAAGGAGGGTAGAGAGTGCCAGAGCAGGACAGGGGCGGGGTTGTCTTGCTACAGATGTGATCAGGGAAGACCTCACCTAAAGGAAGTGAGGGCAAGAACCATGTGATTCTCTGGAGGTAAAAAATAGCAGTGCAGGGGCGCCTGGGTGGCTCAGATGGTTAAGCGTCTGCCTTCAGCTCAGGTCATGGTCCCAGGGTCCTGGAATCGAGTCCTGCATCGGGCTCCCTGCTGCTTGGGAGCCTGCTTCTCCCTCTGCCTCTTTCTCTCTCTCTCTCTCTCTCTCTCTCTCTCTCTCTCTCTCTGTCTCTCATGAATAAATAAATAAAATCTTTAAAAAAAATAGCAGTGCAAAGGTCCTGAGGCAGGATCCCACTCAGTGTAGTTGCAGAACAGTATGGAAGCTAGTGTGTCTGGAGTGGGATGAGCAAGGGGGAGAGTAGCAAGAGAGATCAGAGGTAATTGGTGTCAGGTAGACAGGGGGACTGTGGCGAGCCTTATAGGTCATCCTGAGGGCACTGGCTTTATTCTGAGGGAGGCAGAGGGCATTGGTAGGTCCGAGCAGAGACCTTACATGATCTGACTCAAGTACCATTCTGGATGCTCTGTCAGCATAGACTGTGGGGGGCGAGGGCTAAGAGACTATTATCACAGCCCAGGGGAAAGGAGGAGGAGGGCTGGACAGTGTGGTGGTAATGTGAAAGTAGTAGCTAAGAGTAAACCAAGTCTGAAACTGTTTTTGAAGGCGGAGGCTGTGGGGTTTGCTGATAGATGGAATGTGGGATGTGAAGGAGGCCTCACGGTGACTCTCACGGTTGTTGGCCTGGGCAACTGGCAAGATGGAGTTGCATTTGACAGAGATGGGAACGGCTGTAAGCAGGGCAGGTTTGGGGTTCTTTTGGGGACACCTTGAGTTTAAGGTGCCTGTTACTCATCCATGTAGAGACGGTGATCACTGTACAAATGAGAAGGTTCAGGGAAGGGTCTGGGCTGGGATACAGATGGGGGGCTTACTAGGGTGGAGATGGTAGTGCAAGCTACGAAACTGGATGAGGTCACCTGAGAAGCGAGGACACAGAAGGTGCGAACAAGGTTCAGTGTTGAAAGGTCTGAGAGACAAGAACAGGCACTCCAGGAGATGAGGAGACTATCCTGGGAGGGAGGAGAATCCCAGGTAAGAAGTTCTTGAGGGAGGAGTGATGAGCCCCGTAAACGGGGTAAGGAAAGCGCCTGCCCAGAGTGATGATCCTAGAACACAGCCTGGCATTCAGCAGGCGCCCTGTCATTCCTGGTCATGAACACCATTGTTCATGTGTTGCTTCCCCAAGCCTCCAGCAGTCGGGTCAAAGCTGACTCATGTTGAACTTGAATCTGAGGGTCTGGCAGCTTAAATCCCATTCACTTTAGATTTTCTACTTGTAAGGATCATTGGCACCGACTCTGGAGCCTAAACTACCATCTCGTGGGCGGGAGGGGGCCTCATCAGGAAGGTGGCCTGGACATCAGCTGTTCTTAGCCTGGCCCGAGGAGCAAGCCGGTCATGGACAGTGACCTGGCGCAGCCAAGATGACCTCTCATTGGGTGGGGAACTGGGCTGGGAGGCTTGTTCTTTATAAGTGTGTCCTTTAGTATATTTAAGTTCCTTTTGAGAACTGGGAAAGTTGGGCAGAATATACTAGAATGGGTGAATTACACACTCTACAGGGGAGATGCAGTGTGGTGGGGACATGCAGGCTTTGGCAGCCAACAGACTGGAGTCGGGCAGGCAGGCTGACCATCCCAGGGCCTCTGTTTGCTCACAGCCAAGGGGATGCTGGTGATGACTTCACAAGTAGCTACAGAGATTAGAGATTATATATAAAAAGTGCACATAGTATCACATCTGGCTTGTTGTGGATGTTCAGTAGTTATTTACCTTTTAAATATAAAATCCTGTAGAAATTTTAACAAGGGGAACTGATCGCTCTTTGATGCACCAGGAGAGTATCTCCTAACTTAGACTATGTGGACCGGGCCATCTTTTCTACACTCTGCTGATTCCTCTGTGAAGGAAGCTGTTCTGGGTAGAGGAAGTAGCAGGTGCAGGGCCCTAGGGCAGGAAGGGGGGTATGTTCAGGGAAGTGGGCATGTCTCATGTTCCCACACTTATGACCAAACAATACAATATCCCACCAAAAGAAGAGGCTGCAGGAGGGGGCCTGACAGCTCCCTAATTCTCCTCTTTCTGGTCCCTGTGGCCTGTTTCCAGGTACATTATCTGCTCTCAAGCACTCAGAAAAGGAGCTGTCTTTTGCTTGTTCTATATAGTCTATTTCTGAGTCTTATTGTCCTTAAGTCAAATGGTTTGGTTCAAAGGATTCCTGAGAAGTCGGACTGATAAAGGAGAATTTGCGAGTTCCCAGAGGCACCATGCTGTCTCCCTCCTTTGTGTCTTTGTGCCAGGCCCTGTGCTTAAAAGGCCTTTTCTTAATTTCACCTGGAGGGGAGCGGTGACACTCAGCCCTGTCACCCCCCCCAGCCCAGGTCAGCAGCTGCTTCCACTTGTCCCCAGGTTGAATTACCATCTGTGTTGTCCTCTGTGTGTTTATCATGCCCTGAGTGTTCCAGCATTTGACACACACCACGTTCCGGCCACTGCTTCCACACCTGGCCTCTCTAGGACACGTCCTGTGGCTCTGTCCCCACGCCCAGCACTGAGTGGTGATGGTGGCTGAGTCCTGCTCTGGACATGAAGGGTGCTTGAATGTCTCCACTGGCTTCTCACTTCAGATGGCGGGGAGCAGAGAGGCAGATAATCCCCCTGGGTGTCACATACCAAGTCACTTTGAGGGTGTTGAGGATGGCATTTTCATGTTCTTAGCCATCTTCCTTCACACTGTTAGTAGAGTTTCGTTGCCTGTACACACTTCTGTCACTCCCAAGGCGCCAACAAACTGGCGTGGGATTAGCATTTTGCTGTGGATAATCCATGGGTAGGTCATGGAAAGTTTACTCTCATTGTGATATCTTCGTTTTCCCATTCAGATGTCACTTGGGAATCTCAGCTAAGGGGAAGGAAGAGGTCTTAGAAAATGAAACCATGCCGTCTTAAATCATACATATGTGGTTCTTCTTAGCCCTCCTTCCCATATGTACCACGTGACTTCTTGACATGACATTTATTAAAGCATTTCTTACTGTGAGGTATGAGTGTGCATAAAATCTCTAAATGTTTTAACTCCTTTTTTGCCCACAATAAAGACTTTTTTTAAAAGATTTATTTACTGGGGCACCTGCGTGGCTCAGTCGTTAAGCGTCTGCTTTCGGCTCGGGTCATGATCCGAGTCCTGGGATCAAGCTGCATACCTGGCTCCCTGCTCCGCGGGAAGCCTGCTTCTCCCTCTCCCACTCCCCCTGCTTGTGTTCCCTCTCTCGCTCTCTTTTTCTCCATCAAATAAATAAATAAAATCTTTAAAAAAAAAAGATTTATTTATTTGAGAGAGAGAGGGCCACGTGTGTGTGAGCGGGGGGGGGGAGGGGCAGAGTGAGAGGGAGAGAATCCTCAAGCAGACTCCACACTGAGTGTGGAGCATGATGCGGGGCTCAGTCCCAGGTCCCTGAGATCAAAACCTGAGCCGAAAATACGAGTCGGCTGCCTAACCAACTGAGCCACCCGGGCGCCCCTATAATAAAGATGTTTAACTATCGGTTCTTGATTCATTTTAAACATTTGCCTACTAGACATTTTTTTTCCCCCCTAGAAACAAGATACCGGTCAAGTTCTTCTGGATATGGTATACAACCACTTGGGTGTGACTGAAAAGGAGTATTTTGGTTTGCAGCATGGCGATGACTCAGTAGACTCTCTAGTGAGTACCATCCCTTTAACACATGCTGGACTCCTGCATGGTTTGGTCTTATAGCTTATGTTTTCTTACCCGACAGAGATGGCTGGAATCAAGCAAACCCATCAGGAAGCAGTTAAAAGGTGAGTGTGACCTTCTCATTTCAGTTGAACATGGGGTGTTAGTGTACCCTAGCCCATTTCTCTCCTCTAACCATCAGTGTGCTAGGAACATCTGGGACCTGGATTCCAGGTGGTCCAGGCAATGTGAGTGAGCCAACTTCCCCCTGTCTGACTTCTCAGTGAGCAGAGATGCTTCCAAATGAGCCCTCACCAGCTGTGAGCAGGAAAGGGAAAGGTAAAAGAAGGCAGCCAAGAGCCCAGGAACCTACTTTCTTCTTACAAGGGAAGGAGGATGGCCTTTCGTAGTCCAGTGTGAGTCAAGGTGGGAAAGACACATGTGCATACACATACACACACACACACACACACACACACACACTCACACACTCACTCACACTCCCTCCCCCTGGAGCCTAAGGCATAGGTAGGTAATATCACAGATAAAACATACTGCTCCCCAGCTGTGAGTGGGCCCCAGTGCCATACTGTAACTCCCAGTTAGGAAGGGCTTCACAGCATGCCCCGCCCCACCCTCTGTCCAGATCTGTTCTCAGCCTGGTTTTCCCGCATCACACTCTGTGTTCCCCTTTATGCACCTGCTGCCCCAGACAAACCTGACTGACCTGCCAGGCTGCGCACATTCCTCTGTGCCTGTCCTCAGTCTGTTCTCTCTGTTTGGAATGCTTTTCCCTCTTCCCTACATCCAAATCTTGCTGTTCTTCCTAGCCACTCAGACTCGCATCTCTTCTGTTAGAAGCCATGCCTCCTACCCTCCCTTACATTTGTTGTAACTCTCCTTCATCTCATAGTTGCCTGCCTTATTCTTCCTTGGAAACCGCAAGCTCCTTCAGGGAACGGTGCTTGCCACCTTTTCTCTGCATTCCCTACCATGCACCCCTCCACAGGAGGTGGCCAGTGAATGGCTAAGGGGTAAACGGCAGGTGGATTTCACACAAGTGGACACACACCACCTCCCCCCACCTGCCCCAGCACCCGGATGGGAAGGAATAGAGACGAGGAACCATGGCCATGGTGCCACCGCTACCCGCACGTGAAGCCTGGGCCTCCAAGCCCTTACCTCCTGTAGCATTCAGAACTACCTACCCATGGGGAGCTGCAGAGCTACTGTGCAGATAAATACTTGCCCCCCATTTGAATTCTCAGAGCACTGAGTCCATAGACTATAGTCATAGTCACTAACTCATTCATTCAGGAGATGTGTCCTGAGCTTAGATTTTGGCAGCGCCCTGGGCTAAGCTCTGGGAATCTGGTCCAAATCAGATTTGGACCCTGCCCTCAAGGAGCTGACAGCCAAGTGTGGGGATGTAGACGATGAGAGTGACGGTTCTAGGATAGTTCTGAGCACACGATAGGATGCTCTGGGTGCACAAAGACATCCTGAGACATACAGTGACAAGTTATGGTGAGCAGGGGAGCTGAAAGGCTATCCCAAGGCAGTGGGAAGACTGAGCTATCCCCTAACATGCAGGTGGTCAGACTGTACCAAGTTACAGCGCCACCCACTGGTACCCAGGCAACTGTACAGAGGAACATTCATAGGTGCGCACACATCACTCATATCTCTGACACTGACAGAAGCTACTAAAGAGAGGGAAGGTGAGGTCGGCAGATCCGTGGCCGGATCAGTGCGAGGAGCAGGGTGGAGAAGGCTTGAGTTTCAGAAGCAGCAAAGTGCTGAGCACAGAGATAGGGCCAGTGAACATTTACTGAGTAATGGAGAGGGGTAAAGTTGACCTGAGGAAGAGCGTGGAATCTTAGCAACACAATCTGATCTCCTATTGCCATATCCAGGAAAAGAAATGGGCTAATTTTATCCCTACAAGCAAATTGACTGTTGGTATCGTTGCATAAAGCCATATTTGAGTATGTTAATTGTATAATATTTGCCAGTATGTTTATCACTTTGGGAATTCACTTTGCATTAAAAGTATGAACTGTTTCCCACTATCAAAATGATTGAGATGTGGCATAGCGGAATCAAAAACCTCACTGCTTGAGTTCTGGTTTTGTCATCAGCTGTGCAGCTGAAGGCAAGGCTCTATGCCTGTTGGCTTATCTGTAAAACAGTGCCATCGAGATCAGCCTAACCTACTCATTGCCATGGTGATGTTTAAGTTCAAGAATGTATATGAAAATGTTATGGCGGTGTTTAAGTTCAAGAATGTACATGAAAATGTTTGGGAAAAGTATAAAGTCGCTATCTGTGTGGGATTATTTATGAATGTTGTACAATCTGTTGATTTAAGGATTTTTAAAATTCCTGATACAGGTAAGGAGTGCATTGAACACAGCCCTAAGTTAAACCTATAGTAGGGAGGGGATAGTACCTCATTCTATGCTCTTGTTGCAAAATATTTGACTCTTTGCAGACTTGGAGATTTCTAAACGATGATCTTGTGCACTCCTTTTTTGAAATTAGTCCGTTTATTGATGAAAAAAGCTGTGGTCTAGTGAAAAAAATGCATCACTTATGGGAGAGTAGCCGCTTACCTGCATTGACTTTTTTAAAAGGAAAACTTAAATTTGTTTTTGAAAAATGTTGTAGGAGGTTTCCCCTGTACTCTGCATTTTCGAGTAAGATTTTTTATACCTGATCCCAACACACTACAGGAAGAACAAACCAGGTAATAACATTTTTTTTAAAGTTTCCTTTGTAGTATATAAAAATGGGTAAACCACTAAAAATGTACTCTATCTTATCACTGTGGTCGTACACTTCCTTTGGGTATAACCACACCAGCGGTTATGAAACAAGCAAAAATCGGAGGGATACATACTGAAATTTTCATCAGCTAATTAATTCTCTGTCTGGGGCCTACTTACTTCTTTATTTGGTGCCATTTGGAGTCCACTGCCATCCGCTTCCTCCTACCTCTCCTGCCACCCCAACCCCTCCTGCCTATTGAGCCTGCAGGCACCCAAAGAAAGCACTTGTTCATTTGTTATGCAGGCAGGGGTTTGGGAGACCAGTTTGCTGAGACAGTGGTCTACACATCAAATAACACGGTATCTCTGGGGGGCTAGAATGGGGGCTCTTTACGATAACAAGAGGTGTCTGAACTGAGCATTCTCCACCAGATCCCCAGTTGGTAGAAATAGAAAGGAATGCAAGCTGGAGCAGCTTCTCTCCTGGGTGAATCAGGCTGTGCAGGCAAAATGTGAGCCAGATAAGGGAAAGAGAGCCGAGATAGGATTGTTTACCCCTCAGGGCTTGGCATGGGTCCTAGCCCTTGTTTTGTACTGGCTCGTGGGTTTTCTGGGTGGGGAACAGGGTTTGGAATGGAGGGGGCGGGCACAGGAAGGTTGTTGCTGTTTGAACAGTGACCCTGCCTCTAATTTCCCTCCCCCATGGCAACGTTGAGCCCTTTTATTAATGATATGTTTATTTTTCATAGGGAGGGAAACTTCCAGAGGTTTTTTTCTCTACCAGAAAAAAAAAAAAAACAAAACTTAATGGATGTTCGGGAATATTGACTCCTATTCTGTGTTCATTGTGCCCATGAGGCCATCACCAAGAAGGTGACATTAACTCAGGCATTGAATATTGTTTTTTGTTTTGTTTTGTTTTTGAAGGTAATCACAGGATGACATTTTAGCTTTTAGTTACGTTTATTTAAAGGCTAAGTATTAGTCTATTATTCTGTTTTACCCTCTTTGTGCACCTCTTCCCTCCAAAATAGCAGACATCGGAGATTTGACTGTGTTTACTGTTCATTTGAATTTTAAGCCAGAGTGAGAGATGTCCGTGGGGCTCATTGAGCCACCATGGGAAGTTCACATGATGTTTTGAGTTTTCTGCATAATGGTTCCTCATGCCGGTGGACTAAGGGGTTATTAGTGCAGCAGCTCAATTCATGAGCCAGTGGACCCAGGGGGCGACATCTATAGAAATCACCCTACCAGAGTTCCCCCAGGCCATTACTAAATACCAAGTTCTGTTCAAGGGACGCTTTAAAAACGTTATGATAGATTATGTGTGTGTGTGTGTGTGTGTGTATACACGTGTGTGGTTTTAACCAGTGGATTTTTAAATCACAACCACACAGCAAAAATATATTTTGCTTCACAGTGCAGTCCAGGTAGACATTACAGAAGCAAATATTTAATAAACCAAGAGGAAGCGCAGGGCACTCTCAAGTTCTCTGTTTTCTCTTTCCTTCTTTTAAAATGCCAGTTGTGACCCATTAAATTTTTAAGCAACTGATAGGTTCCAACAAATATGTATGAACCGCCCTGCCTAAGCTAGTGATTGTCACCTTTGGTTCTGTCTGCGCCCCTGTGATGCTAGAGCCCAGGAGTGTGGTGACCAGCAGGCATGGCAGAGTTCTCCAAACAAAGAACTTGAGTGGAGGGATTGCTAGGGCTGGCCTAACCCAAGAGTCCCTCTCCAGGTCCCTCTTGGTCATTGGGTACCCACTTCCCTACCCCACCAGAGAGAAGCTCACCACCTCTGGGTGCCAACAAAATCCTCCTGCTGAGCCTCCCTGTCGTTTGAGGGACATTTGAGGAAATGTAGGAGGTTTGGGATGGAGGGAGGACTTGGGGAGAAACAGGCTGCCTTGAGATCTGTAAGGGCTGTCACGGTAAGGGGAATTAGACATGCTTGGTGGTAGAATCATGGCCAGTGGGTGGGGGATGCCAAGAGGCAGATTTGGGCACAAGATGAGTAATAGATGAATTTTTGTTCTTCCCTAAGTCCAAGATAAAAGTCAGTTTGTTAGTATCCCCGCTAGAATTCACTGCTTCAGGACTGATACCTGACCCTACCACCCCACCTCCCAACTTAAGGTGGGTGGTAGCCCCAAGGTTGGAGTGGAGTGTGGCTGTCACCTCCTGGGATTTTGGGCACCAGCTTTCAATGTAACAGGAGTCTTTGCAGCAGCCACCCACATGGCTCCTGTGGAGCTTGTGGGCAGGCAGGACTGCCAGATCTTTTTCTTATGCTGAGCTAGACTTCCACCATTAATTCACAGGTCTTTTTTTTTTAACTTAGAGTTTTGCCTATATTCCTGACACACGGTATCCTATTAAGCCCCACCTCTGTAGCCTATCCAAAAATAAGTTCCTTTTAAAGAAGTTCAGTTCTCAGGTGTCAGAGAAAGTAGTATTTGTTGTTTTCTGTTTGTTTTCTAAAATCTAGGGAGGCATTCGTTGCTTTTTTTGTGAAGTTGAGATCACGGATGGGATATACTCTAGGAGTGACCTTTACATTTCTGAGTCAGGTGTGCTGATATCTCTTCTGCATGGTTTTCTCTTATTCTGATTGTTAGACCTCTCCTTGACTGGAAGCCTCCACAACTGCTGTTCCCGATAAATTTAGGTCATTGTACACAGAATTTCATTTACTGGCAGTCTCAAAACGAGGCTCCTTCAGGATTTCCAGGAGATCCCCTAAATTTGGGCCTCCTTCCACTATGACAACCTCTTTGTATGATGTCATGAGGTTGATTCAGACAAGGTAGCCTTTGATGAATGGTGATGTCCAGGTTTGTGTTCTCATTTCTGTCCCTAGGAAGATATGCCAATTAGCCCGGCTCATCACTGGAGGGCCAGGTTTACCATCAGATTATCCAGATTCTCTCCCTTGTCTCATTTCTCCCAGTACCATTGTAGGAGGAGAGAACACTTAATTCTGGTTGAATGTCAGCTTGGATAAACATAGGAACAAACTAGAAAGGACTGATGATGTTCTCCTAGGTGAAAAAGATAGTCTCCAATACAGAGTAAGCATGAATCAGCAAATGTATGCTACATGGTATCTCAGTGCTGGTCTTCAACACGTTAAGGGTAGTTGATGATAACTACAGGCTACATAAGAATATCAGAGTTAGGAAATTGACCCTAAGCCTGAAGTTATTAGATGTATAAGAAATCTGTAGCATAGTCAGGTTTTTTCATAGCATGAGTGTCCAGGTTAAAATAAGATCTAACTGACGCCATGTAAACTATCTGAATGTCTTGTTTCCTCAAAAAAAAGGAGGTGGTGGTACCTACTTCAGAGCTGGTAGGAGGCTGAAATGAGGCAGTACATTATGAATAATTCCCTGCACCCAGCCAAGATCTGTGCAGAGAGGAGGTTGTAATGCCAGGTGAAGCATTCATGTCTCGGAACACCAGCACCTTGACCTTTGAACATATAAACTTGAAGGACTAAGGAGACTGCATGTGTTTCAAATTGCCAAATAATCACTCTCCTGCCCCAGAACACTTCTGCTGCATCTGTATTATATTTCAAGAAGTTTCCCTTTTGTCCTCTTGGCCAGACACTAGAATGTCTATCCCGTTTGAATCTGGGCTTTAAAAAGGAGTGGGAGCTAGTAGCCAAGTGGGTGTATGCCACATCCCTAAATATAAAGCTTTCCATGGCCCTTGGTGGCCAGCGCAGCACTCCTACTGCTGTCTCTTACCCAGTCCCTGGACAGGAAGCAGATTCACAGGGTGTGGGGCCCGGGATGGGTTCCCGAGCACTGCCCACAAATCAGGTCCTGGGTTTTGACATTGCTGGTGGCTCACGGGCAAATGCCGAATTCAGCTCAGAGGTCCTGGCAGCTGGTAGCTGACTGATGTTTATGCTTTTGCTCGAGTACCCACAGTTCCCAGGACACGGGAAACAACTCAGCTGGGTGTTTGCACCCAGCCAAGGCAGTGTCCTCACAGACCCAGCTCCTCTTTGCAGCTTCATGCAGAGGGAATGTGGGTGTGTTCTGAACCACCGCCGCCCAGCACCTGGGGGGCTGCCTGTGCATGATGCCCATGGGGCCTGGTGCTCTCAGATGCCCCACGTTTGATGGGGAATGTCCAGGGTGGGGGTGTCCACTGGCAACAGCACTGGCTGATCGTTGGCGGGGTCAGCCATCCCTGGGACGGTATGTGCTGGCATGAGGCTGTCTGGAAATCAGCAGCCACAAGGAAGCATTGTTACCGAAGGGGCAGCTTTGCAAGGTACAAAAGAGCGCCCGAGACTTCAGGCAAAAACGTGTGTTTTTGTATTTTGTTTTCCAAATGTACAAACCTTGTCTTTGACTTATCACCTCTGTTTTTTGTATCTCAATTTGAGTATTATGCATTAATAAAAAACAATTGTTTCGTAGGCATTTGTATTTCTTACAACTGAAGATGGATATTTGTGAAGGAAGGTAATGAGAATTTCACATTCTTCTTTTCCTGTCAGTTGCCAGACACTAAAATTCCTGGTTTTAATCTAATGAGCGTGTATTTCTGGAAACAGTATTAAATCTAAACAAAGGATGGATGTTGAAAGCAGCATCCTGTACGACATTATGCTCCGGACATCTGTTTTTAACTCAGTGTTGATTTGGAGAAGCTGAGGATGGATAAACTTCATTTCATGTTTCAATTTTATTAGCAAAGATACAGTTATCTTTCTGGTAAAGACCTGAGAAAAGTTACAGGGAGAATGTGAGACACGCTTCATTCAGGAAGGCAGCTCAGGCCTAATTTAGGTCCACTTCCAAGCCCCTTAGTACCTCTAGATGATTCATTTTTCTTTCTGGGAGACTTTGTGCTGGAAGACGTGAGTGTCTGCCTGTGATTCAGCACGTCTTGTGTGGCAGGACCATCTCAGGGGCTGGAAGGATCTGAAATGGCTGGGGAAGGAATGAGAAATGCCAAACCACTTGTCCCTGAGCTACCTCCTGCAAATCCTGACTTTTCCTTAAGGGAGAACCTGCAGCCAGTGAACTGGTAGAAACAGCTTATTCCCATTCTCCTCATTCCTTCTTTCCTCCTGCCAGCCCCGCCCCCCCCCCAGGAGGGTTTTCAGAAGCTGCTGTGAGGGAGCCTGCCCTGTGGTTGGGGGCAGTGACACAGGAGCCCGTGAGACGATTGGGACCAGTATGAGCTGTGCAGACCCCAGTTGCCACGAGGTTTTAGAAGGAGAAGTGCAGGCTGGAAGGCTTTGCCCTGCCCCAGCCCCTTGGTCCCAGTTGAAAAGCACGTGTTGGAGGCTTACAGGAGAATAAGGGAAAGGGGGGGGGGGTCCCTCTTCATGTCAAAGCAAGACCGGCATCTTGTGTCCAGCAGGCAGAGGAGAGCTGTCGGAGGTGTTCAGGCAGGAGGCATGTGGCCAGAGCAGCCGCAAGGGTGAGAAGGCTGGAAGAGACTGGGGGGCTTCATCTACATGGAAGGGAGGTTTGCAGGTGGGGCTGTGAAGATCCTGGGGGTGGGGGAGGGGAGGAACATTTAGAAACAAGACACATATTGAAATTGGACTGCCCTAACCTGTTGACTGTTCAGAGCTCCTAGAATGGGAGAAGTTTTGCAATTGAGCTCCTTCTCTCACTGGAGGAGGAAGGAGCCCCTTCTCTAGCACAGCTGCAGGCCTTGGCCTCTGCTTAAGCACCCCCAGAAATGAGCTCCCCCTTTTGTGAGCCTTCTCACATGTGAGGGTGACTCTAGAGGGAAATGACCCATCCCTCTTCTGGGTCCAGGCTGCCCTCTGCAGAAGCAGAAACTTGTCTCTCCTATGAGCTAATTTCTTTTTCCAACAAGTATTTCTCAAGCACCTGTTAGATGATGGCCTCTGTGCTGTGCTGATCAAATAAAGCAAGACCCTCAACCCCAGGAGCTCTCAGTCCAGTGCTCCCCATAGTGAGAATTAGCTGTCTTCATTTTTTCTTCTCCCAACACAATACCCCTTGTTAGTTTTGGGTGACACCTGTTGAGGGACACATCCTGCCTTAAATCCCTGGCATTCCTCATCAGGCATGCTGGTGGCCTTCACCACCTCTCTCAGGAGAGGGTCTCCTGTCACCAGACACTTCCTGGGTACGTCAGGGTGGGTCTGGCCATTTGTAACTGTGACTCTTTTGACAGACAGGATGGACCTGGTTAGTCTTCTTCCTGGGCGCCCTGGCTTGTTTGAGCCATCAGTGGCAGGTGGTTCCCAAGGCACGCTCTCCTTCCAGCTGAGCTAGGTGACCTTGGCCATCAGATGGAGACCCTAAAGCCTAGAGGGAAACAAAGGGGTCTTTTTAGGGGCCATGTTGAATGGCCATGCAGGCTTTCAGCATTCTTTTTTAGTTCGCATTTACCCTATTCTTTGGAAATGTTCATTTCTGACTTATTCATAGGATTATTCCTTCCATGTGGATGGAACCCCCTTAGCCTGTCTTCTCAGGTGTTCCCCAAGTCCCATTCACCTGCTCCGCCTCTAGCAGGGACACTGACTTAGGTTTCCTTGAAGCGCATCTTAGGAGAGTGAGTGGCTGGTGTCTGCTCTCCCCACGGGCTCTCTGGGTCTCCAGATGAACAAACAGATGGTGAATATCCCTGGACATAGCTCCAAACTTGGAGAGATGGTTTAGAAGTTCTAGCAGGGAACACCTAGTAACTTGAGGAAAGTTGGGGGCCCCTCACATAGGGAAGGCTCCCTTCTCATGCGGCTTCAGAACGGTACATAGCACAACAGACAGGAAGGGGAACCCTGCACTGGCCAACCTGATTAGTCAGAGACATGGGGGTGACTCACATCTTGGGAATTTCATGAGCTGCCATGGAAACAGCACTTTTTCTCCACTTCCCCTGGGGCTGCCGGGAGGAATGCTTTCAAAATCTGTGTCTCCCCACCCTGCAAGCCTTCATTTGCACTGCTTCTAGTCGGCCCCTCCACAGTGTATTTCTCCACCTGGCAGGGGTCCCTGGCCCAGGTCTGCTGGCCAAGCTCCTAGGCAGATGGTGGCGTTCATGCTTGGACAGAGAGAAGGGAGCGACCAGAGGATTCGAAGTATGACTAAGCTAGAGATGGTGTCATTGGCAGAAACAGGGTGTTTGGAGGGCAGTGAGCCTGAGGGGAAGGGAGCTCAAGTCTAATGTCTGATCCCTGGGTTTCTAGCAGGTGGCAGGCAAACTGGGAGGCAGACAGACCATCCCCTATAGATCGGAAGCTTGAGGAGGGTAAATAGATTTAGGAATCTTAAGTAACTGTTACTAAGTAATTTAGAACTCACAGGAGTTTTAAAATTTTAAGATCCTTTTCTATTTTTTCCCATCTAAGAGGATGTCACCTTTCTAGAAAGGTGGCAGAAGTCAGGGATTTAGTTAGAAAGCCCTACGAAAAGTCTCACGTCTTTACTAGAAAGATACAAAGGCTGCCCATTGATCTAAGAGTATAATTTTTCTCACTTTTCCTCTTAGTGATATGAGCCTGACCTTTCTTGACCAGCCAAAACCTTGGCCCGCATTAGGCCTCCAGCTTCATGGTGTTTGTATTAGTGTGTATTATTTTAAACATGACAAAGTTCTCTTTTAGTTGTGAATCTTCAGTGTTACATTTATCTTTACTGTTTGAGTTACATCCTAAAAATATCTTTATTTTGATTCATGATGTTTTTTAATGGTTAATCTGAGAAAGAAGACAGGTGTCCCCCATCATGGATGTTTCAGGCTGTTGGCTCTTGTGACTTTGCTAATATGTTTTTCTCCCGACAGGTTAACCTGCCCTCTTAACTCGGCAGTGGTTCTAGCATCCTATGCCGTACAATGTAAGTCACCAAGGGAGCGTTTCACAGATGGGCAGACTATTCTGACCGATGTATTAAGAAAGTCACTGGCCTTTCCCGTTTGACCAGATCACTTCCCCTCTTCCCAGGAATCCCACTGGGCAAGCTTACCTCTGGTTGTCGGGATACTCCCACTTTCACCCTGACTGACGCACTCTGCCGACACAGGGATCTTGATTAGGGAAGGTGTGAATGAGCCCATACAACAGAAGTCACCTATCACACATTGCATTAAGCAGTCCCTCGCTCACATATTGGATCTTACAACAAACCCCAGTGGGGCAGATAGTTCTACCAGTCACCTCTTACAGAAACAGAAACCAAGTCCCATGGTTAAGCAATTTGCTGGCGGCCACTCATGCTACTTTCTTAGGATCTTAGGAATTTGTTTTTAGAGTTTCAGTAGAGTTAATGGGTCATCTGTTGGTCTGTAGCAGCAGTGTCCAAAAGAAATATAATGTGAGCCACATATGTCATTTTAAGTTTCTAGTACCCAGTGTTAAAAAAGGAAAACGAAACAGGTGAGATTAGCTTTAGTATTTTAACTAATCCAGTATATCCCAAATATTATCATTTTCATATGGAGGCGATGTAAAAAAAAATAACCAGATATTTTACATTTTGTTTTCATATGAAGTCTTTGAAAACCAGTCCAGATTTTATACTTACAGCACATCTCAATTTGGACCAGCCACATTTCAAGGGCTCAGGAGCCACATGTTGCTGGTGGCTGCCACATTGGAGAGAAAACCCATATGGAATTTTCCATCAAGGCCTGTTTAAGCTTAAGAAATCACTCATTCAGCAAAACTCTGTTGAGAGTATATACCACGTCATGCCCCGTGGTAGATGCTGGGTATGCACGATGGAACTGGTCCCGAGCCTGAGGGAAGGTGAAGTACCCCATCATAGTTAGCCGTGTGGTGCCAGGGCAACACACTAACGTAGAAATCGGACAGACTTACATGGGAGCCCAGGACGTAAGAAGGCCCCTGTACCTTTCTATGAGCCCCACCCCATCCTGGCCTGTTAACCCTCTTGGCTGACTGTGTGTTAGGCAGCTAAGAGGGCAAGATGGTCAGGTCTCAGAGCAGGTGGAGGCTAAATGACTCACTCTGCTTTGGTCTCGAAGACAAAATAGCAAGAGAGGGCTGACATGGACTCCTGAGGTGGCCTTAAGTCTTTCCACACCCCCGGCTTCAAGGATCAGGAATAGGAGAGGTGAAGAGCAAGGTGGCCGGCACTTACCAGCTTACCTGCCCACCTGTGTGATACCAGGAAATGGAAGACAGACTTTTAACGGTGACCCTACTCACTAGTCAGGTAAGACCTAGCATCAGTCTCCCCTGGTGGCCTGCACCTCCTCCTTCTCAGGTTCCTCTCAGGGAAACTTCTGAGAAGAGGTTGCACAGTGGTAGGTCTGGGTAGATTGGAAAGTTCCCCTCTCCCTACAATGCAACTGGAACAGACCCAGCCATGTTGCGTCCAGGTGGGAAATGACATGGCCACAGTCGACCTGTATCCCTACTGATCTCTAGACCTCATTTCCTCTGTCTCTGCCAGGCTGATCGGCTGAAGAAACAAGCTTTGCCACATCCCAGAGTGAGTTTGGTGTTCACAGCTAGAGCTTCAGGTTTGAGGGCCGGGAACACTTTTAGAAAGGACGTAGCTTTGGATGCAGCCAGACTCAATTTTAAGCCTGGCTTCTCCATTTGCCACTTATGTGGTATTACCTTCCTGATTTTCCATTTTTTCCTCTGTAAAATGGAGGTGAGGACGGTGACTGTGACGACTCAGAATTGACTATTTGAGTCAGATCACACGTGTGAAGTAGTCTATAACTAGAAACTCTACATTTGGACCCTTGCCTGAGTCGACGAGAGCACACCTGAAGCCATATTACCTCGATTTTGGCTCTTCCCCTCATACGTGCATGACCCTGAGCCTCCCTAGGCCTCAGCTTCTTCATCTGTCAAGTGGGGATAACAGTGTTTACTTCATGGGGTCGTAGTGAAGATGGAATGAGTTATTATAGGGAAAGCTCTCAGAATTGTGCCTGGCACATGGTGAGTGTTAACTCTCACTCTGTTTTCATGTCTCCCCAGAAGAAAGCTTTCTAAAGAACTGCCTGTTGTTCAACAACAATAAACTCTACTTAGAGTAAAATGTAAGGACCAAATAAGAAAAAACTATTCTAAGCTTCAGTGGTCAGGTTCCCCCTCTGCAAACAAATGCTAGACTGGGGGCTAAAGGAATTTATTAGCACCTAAAAAGTACAAACTAGTTTCAGTGGAAATATTAGCACGACTATCATGCTAATAAAATTATGGGTGGTCAGACAAGCATTTTTAAGTATAAGTTCTTTATTCCTTCACTCTCAGGAAGTACATGTGTATTTTTCCTCATACTTCTGTGCATGCATTCCTGTAAGATTAATTCTTGGATACTGCTGGATGTCTAAATTGTATCCGCTACATTTCACCAGATTGTCCCAACAGACGTGTGTCATAGGGAGATAAACCCTACCAGTGATGAGCAAACCGAAGGCACATTTTCTTACTAGATAAAAAGTAATATAGGCAAATACCTGAAAAGACTTCAGGTTGCCGGTGGCCACAAGTATTAATGAGGCTCAAAGAATGACATTTTTAGAAATGTGTATTTACTCCGTAATGTCCGTTGACCTCTGTTACATGCAGGTTCTGCACCCGCCTCAGGGTTGCACGGACAGACAAAGCACAGCCTCTCTCTGCAAGGGTCTCCTGCCTGGTGGGAGGCACAGGTGGGCCAGCTGATGCTGGCAGTGAGGGTGAGCACGGAGGATGCACCCCATCCCGTGTGGGGGAGGAGCGAGCAAGTCCAGAAAAGCTTCTTAGTCGTGACCCCTGAGAAAAGCCTCCAAGATCAAGTGGGAGATGGATAAAGAATGTAAGGGGCATATATCATGTAAAGGACTTTCCCAGCAGAACAGTTGCACAGCTTGAAATGCTGCACATTTGAGTGCTTAGAATATACTCTCTCTCTTTCTTGCACAATATAAAATATTAGCCAGAAGAATGCATGGGACTTAAGACAATGTATTTCCCACATAAACACTCATTTCCTTTTCTTCCTGCTATAATTAGCTTTTGCGTGTGTTGCTTCTCCACAAATAGGAAAGTGTATTACTCTGGAGGTTAGGGTATGTGGTATAGTAAGTAGATGAAGAATATGGACTGTGGTCAGAGTCTAGGCTCCAGGTTACCAGCTGAGCAAAGTGGGCAGGTCCCTTCCTTGAGTCTCCCTTCCCTTAACTGTTTCATGGGGATAAAAGCAATGTCTGTCACTGGGTTGTCATGAGCATCTGATGGGTCCATGGCTTTGAAACCATCATGGGAACCTCCCTGTGCCTTTCGAGTGTTTGCAGATGACTGTTTGACTTTGTTTCCCTCTAGTGGTTAGCATTGCACTTTGCACAGAGTAGCTGACTACGATTTCAAGGGAAAACCACCCTACAGGAAGGTTCATTGGTCATTCATGTTCAGATGTTTGTCAGTGACTTGACTAAAGACAGCCTTGCTATTCATGTTCGTAGAAGGGCCCAGGGGTTGGGACTTGTTAGCCAGTATGGATGACCAAATCAAGATCCAAGAGGATCTCTATGAGCTAATGAAACCAACAGAGTAAAATTCAATAGGACTCTGGCTTGAGGCTTAGGAAAACCTCTTGCAGCATTTGGCTGCCTTCTGGGGCCGTGACCACTGTCCTCAGCAGATGGCCAGCCAGCAGCAGCTCGGACCTGGTAGGCAGGCTGGTGGGGATGGTGGGAGCCCTAGCTGGGGCATGGATCACCTGGGTTCTGGTCTCGACTGCTAAAAGGGGCTTCTGTGGACCAGTTTCTTCCCTTACTTTGTTTCTTCCCTTTTAAAATGAATTTACGCAAGGTAATTTTAAGGCTTTCTCAGGCTTTCCTCATTGGGAACTCTGTCAAGGCATCTAAATTATTTCCTATAAACACACTGTTGTACACTTCACCGTGTACGGACTCGCCTGTAAGCCACACTTGTGCTTACATCATCCAGCCTTGACATTTCTGTCCATAGCTTAGCTGCATTCGGCTGGCCTTTACAGCCTATGGTCTCCCCTTGACCAAGTCTGTCTGCGTAGATCATTTGACTTTCTGCCCTCTTCCCCTTCGAAAATGGAACTTTGTAGTAGCCTTTGTTTGGGTTAGCTCCAAGTACTGCATCCATGAGCACCTTCTGTGTGCCATGCATAGGTGCTAGGCCCCACAGATGAGTCTGCCTCGCTCCCAGCCCTCAGGGAAGACTAAGGAGGAAACAGATCCCTTCATTACAGTGTGGATCTCAAAGGGCAGCTCTTATGTGTGATGGCAGCTGAGGGGGAGCAGGGCCACACGGATGTAAAGAAAGACATGTTTGTGTCTTTCCTCTCATCTTTGTGATGAAATCCCCCTAAGCAGCTCCCCGGCTCCTCTCCTTCCCTTCTGAGATTGGCCGTGAAGCATCGCCGCAGCTTCTCCCAATTCCCATCCTTGTGACACAGAAGGAGCTGTGTGATTTAGAAATCTGTGTCGAATGGGCTGTGAAACGTCAGTCCTCAGAAGCCCCCTGGCAGTGAGGCCAGCTGCAGGAAGAATTCATTGAAACCTTTGGAAAGATCAAGGTTAATATTTTTAAGAAAAAGATGAAAGTGTCTCATTAAGAAAATGAAATACTAGATAAATTACCCATCAGAACTAGAACTTGTTTTTCTCCTATTTTTATAAAGCCGGAAAAACTGAATCTTAGAGAAGCAAAGCAGGTGTCCTTGGGTCCCCCAGCCAGATCCTTGGCTGTTCCACCCAGGGTCTTTTTCCCAGTCTCCACAGTCCAGACACCAGATGGTTTGAATCCTCAGGGCAGCCATGTACACTTGTACAGGTTGGCTACTGCACCACTCTCAGGAATACCTGTAACACCTTAGACATCAATGAATCATGTTTGTAGAATGGCAGTCAAGGATCTTGAGGGAGAGGTGCTGTTTGGACCAGGGATGCATCTGGTTATCCCTCTAGAAGGCCCCCTTCCTCTTCCCTTTACAAAGGGAATTGCAGGTTCCCAGTGTTTCCCTGACTCCCCTAAGGTTTCCTTCTTCCCAAGAACTCTGCCCTCAGCCTTGCCAGGCCCAGACCAACAGCCCCACCCACTCCCATCCCTTATGCCATCCCCCACCCTCCCACTGTGCCTCCGAACACATCCTGGTTCCATTTCTTCCACACTTCTCCAAATTCCAGGGAGTCGGTCAAGGTGCAGAGAGTATTCAGGTCATCATGACCTGTTTTCTGCCCACACCCATTGTTTCAGAGCAGGTTGGTCCAGTGTCCTAATCACCTTGGGGTAGTAGAGAGTCTGTCTGCACAGTGCCCGGCATAGAGGGTCTGGCGTATTTGAGTGGGCTCCCTTCTGTGTCTGTATGCAGGGGTAGGGTACCACCTGCTGTGCTCACCACAGACTATGGGTTTACAACAGGACCTAGCTTAGAGTGTTTAAACGTCTGGCCTCGGGGAGAGAGCATTCAGCCAAAGCCTGCACAGTAGTACTTAGCCCATATAGGGTTCCGAAGAAAATGTGAAATCTGGAGCAAATGAGAAGCTCTATTGCATGTGGTGGTAGAACCTCTCGGAAGAATGCTTCCAGTGCCTTTCTTGTGATGCTGTCCATGTTCGTGAATACAGACCATACTGAAAAGGCAATTTCCTCCTCATTCTGTCTTGATAGCTCATTTTGGAGACTATAATTCTTCCCTTCATCATCCGGGCTATCTTTCCGACAGTCAGTTCATCCCAGATCAGAACGATGACTTTTTAGCGAAGGTGGAATCCCTCCATGAGCAGCACAGGTAAGGGGGAGGGGTACGGTGGCCTACTTTGGGAGCCCAGGTCGGGCATTTCAGACCTCGTGTTCCCTTAGGTTTGATGTGTGGCTTCCTTTTGTTCATGCATCCTCTTTTAAGCTGTTGGGGGTTTGTGAACCTTTGGGCTGTTACGATGGCAGATATATTTGGCGTAACTAGCATTTCTGTAAAGTGCAAAATCCATAAGAGTTTAGGGGGATTTACAGCGTTCTATTTTTAGGATGTCGTTAAAATCCGTTAACTCCTAGGGGAAATGCCCTTTTTAAATCTGACTGCCCCACAAGCTGACCTGCCAGGCAAACCTTTGAACGGATGACCACACTTAAAACATGCGGCCCCTTCAGGCATCGTGGAGCAGGCAGGCCAGTGGACGCATGGCGCCAGGCCGTGTGAATCCCGCGTCCTCTCTGGGCTCAGGTCACGAAACGGCCTTCATCCCAGAAGGGACACCAGTTCTCCACGGCTGCCTCAGGCCACGCTTGCACTCCAGCAGATGTGCCCACTTCCAGCCCCCTCGTCCTCTGCCGCATTTTACTCAAACCTGCAGTGGCGCTGGTGGAGTCCAGGTTAGATAAGGGCCCTCCTGACCGGGAAGGCCAGGTCTCAAGGGACCTGCCATTCTTGGGAAGGCTGGAAAAACAAAGGCCAAGCAACCAGCGTCCTTCTAAAAGGCACCGCCGATCCTCCCTCCCAGAATTGTTTCCCAGGCAGAAGCCAGCGTCCTAAAATAGTACAGTGACGTTTGGGAGTTTGAGGCTGCCGAAGAATAGATAAAGGTGGAAAGACCTGAAGAGCACCTAGCAAGTAAGCAACTTGGAACAAGGAGGGTGGGAATTTCACAAGGTGGCTGTCTTCTGTATCGGAGGACTGAGAGCTTACCGAGTGAAACGTAGTATTTACTAAAGGACCGAGCAGGCTAGATGAAGTCCTCTGCAGTGGACAAGAAAAAGGCCTGCTTTAGAATTCAGGGCTAGACTGTTTAAGATGAATAATGTAAGGCATTTAACGACCTGACAGAAATATTACCAACTTGGAGGGGGATTTTTATTTTAAAACTTGGAGTTATATACTTTGTTGGTTGGCAAACTCTCCATCTTCTCTCCTTTCCTATAGTGGGCTAAAGCAATCAGAAGCTGAATCTTGCTTTATTAACATAGCACGGACCCTCGACTTCTATGGAGTGGAGCTGCACAGCGGTAGGGTAGGTACCCTTTCCCCAGTCGGGTTCAGAAATTAACTTCCGGAAGTAAAACTTCTTGAACTGCCTTTTCTGGTATAATAATAATAATTTTTAAAAAGACCTTTTTAGGGCGCCTGGGTGGCTCAGTCGTTAAGTGTCTGCCTTCAGCTCAGGTCATGATCCCAGGGTCCTGGGATCGAGCCCCACATCGGGCTCCCTGTTCCGCGGGAAGCCTGCTTCTCCCTCTCCCACTCCCCCTGCTTGTGTTCCCTCTCTCGCTGTGTCTCTCTCTGTCAAAAAAAAAAAGACCTTTTTAAACAATATTCAGAAAGTTTATGAACTAATGTTGAGTATGGTTGGTTATTTATCCAGTCGCTTTTTTCATGTTTCATGTTTCCATGGGGTGGGGGGTCATGGGGATTAGAAACGAGTAGTTTTTGTAAGATGATTTCATGTTACAGTTAAAGAAGCAAAAAAATGTATATGTCCATTTTCCAAGCGATACTTTGGTGAGCCAAGGTTTTTACTGTTTCATCTCAGTGCTGCTCAAAATACAGTTAATTGCTCAAATATGACAGCTTTTAAAAATTATGATGGTATCATGAAAACCAATAAATATTTTAAATTGACTGTGACCTTTTAAATGAAATTGATTAATATCCATCATCTACTGAGCAATTTCTATCTGCCGGACACAGCAGTTTTCTTATGTCCCACAGTAAATGCCATGAGGTATTATCACTACCCCCATTTTACAGATGGAGAAACTGGTACTCAGGGACTTCTCAGAGGTCACATAGCACAGAAGTAGCAGCTTCAGTACATGACCCCAGCACTGTCTAATTGGCATCTGACCTTTATATTTTCTACCAGTAATTGGCCCACATCATATCTAAAAGGAAGCAAATATTGATTGAACACCTAGTAGGTACTCGCCATTGTGTGAGATGCTTTTCACGAGACCCCAAGGTCCATTTAAAGATTATAGCAACCTTGTGAAGTCGGTATGCTAATCATCGCATTTTACAATGAGGAAATGGAGGCTTGGGGAAGTTGAGTAAATAGAGTATTTTTGCAATTCATAGACACACTTTCGTCTCTTTTGTGTCCCCTTCAATCTTATAACTGTGTGATAGGCAAGTTATGACCTAAGTAATAAAGTAGGAAAAAGATATGGGATCTTAGAAAAATACCAACTGTGGGACTTGATGGTTACTTTTTATTACATTTGCAAATAATAATTTGTCATAGAATGTTGTGGAGAACGTTCTGCGGTGGTGAAGTGGGCTTTCTATGTCTCTGAGTCGATCTGTGCTCTCCCCACCACCTGTGTCCCACGAGAGACCTCAAGCCAGATGATTACCTGCCTGGCTGACACCTCCCAAGGTATCAGAGGGAGTTGGGCTACCTTTGGCTATGCTGGGTCATCCGAAAACCCCTATCAATAACTTGATACCACAAAGTTCCTTCCTCAGTAGTTCAAAAGCTGCGGTGGGTCCCAGCGACCCTCCAGGGAAGCCTTCCTACTTGCAGCGACTCCGCAGCCAGGATGCTTCCGTTTTGTGGTGTCACCAACTCCACACGTGGCCTCATGCTTGTGGCGAGTGAAGGGGAAGCTGGAGGGTTGCACAGCAGCTCTTAAATGATTCAGCCCAGAGGAGACCCATCACTTCTCCTAGAACACTGACCACGACTAGTCACATGGCCCTGTCTTCTACATGTATAGCTGGGGAATGTGGCGACGGCCTGGGAATTTAGTGAACAGTGACCATCAGGGGATGAGTTGCATGTGATTTCAGCTGGCTGCCCAGTAGTGAATGTTCTCTGGACTTTCGCCTGTATCAGCACTGTTTTCTTTGGCCAGTTTCTCTGATTTCCCATGTTCGCATCACTGTTCACAGTAATTTGTCCCACAGCATCTTGGAAGGCAAAAGGGAATGAAAGTTTATTATACCTGCCACATATTCTGTAATTTCAGCCTGATAAAAACCCTTGGAGAGGTGGCTTTAATAATCCTTATTGTACAAAAGGAAAAAAATGAGGCTCAGTAGCCCAAAATAACACAGCTAGTAAGCGGCAAACCCAACGTTCACGCTCAGTGGTAACTAAGTCAGACTGTGCCCCCCCTTTTTAATATAATTACAAGTATCTGAGTGGGTATATTGGGATATAGATGACTCGGGAAGGAACCGTTTTAGTTTTAAATTTTACTATACTCACCTTGTTCTCAAATGAATTTAAATACCTTATAGTGGCTGTATCTTCCATATTTTCATTGTCTATGGCAATGCATAGCATAGCAGGCTCTTTTTTTTTTAAGATTTTATTTATTCATTTGAGACACAGAGATAGAGAGAGAGAGAGAGCATGAGCAGGGGGAGAGGCAGAGCGAGAGGGAGAAGCAGGCTCCCCGCTGAGCCAGGAGCCAGACGTGGGGCTCAATCCCAGGACCCTGGGATCATGACCTGAGCTGAAGGCAGATGCTTAACCATCTGAGCCACCCAGGCGCCCCAACATAGCAGGCTCTTAATGAATGTTGAGTCTATTGGATTTATAGGCAATATTTATTCATTCATTGGATTTAAAGTCAGCAGTTCTACGCTTCATGACAATAGGTAGCTAACAACTTTCCCATGATGGGAGTTGAGATTGGTGGAAAGCTATGCAGAGGTCGAAGCCTTGCTGATGCTAGCATGGTATCTAATTGTTGAAAATGTATAATTGGATGTTCATGTCAGGATTCTGTGGCAGGACGAGTGGGCCTGCCTGGTAACTCTCTAAGCCAGTGGGACCCAGCGGCTGCTCTCAGATGGTGTATGTTCACTTTAGAAGAGTCTTGCTAAGTACTGGGATCTGAAGTATTCTGTGCCTGTTTTTCTAACATTTTCCCTTTGGAGCATATACATACTGCTATTTATAAAAGCGTGGGTGCTTCAGTTACCGGAGGGCATCAATGTGACCGTGACACACTGTGAATCTGAGCTCTTCCCTTTTACAGGATCTGCACAATTTAGAGCTAATGATTGGGATCGCTTCTGCGGGCATCGCCGTGTACCGAAAATATATTTGCACAAGTTTCTATCCTTGGTAAGTGCAGACCAGTTCTAATTATTTTCTGAATCATGCTTTAAAAAAATGCTGAACAAAAGAAATGTTATCTCTAATTTTACACTTTTATTTCTGAAGGAGGAGTGGAGACTTTACCCCTAGGTTTTTCCCTCTGACCTCTCTGGTCGACCCAGATTCAGTACTTGGGAAAAGTAGTTGGGTTTTCACCGGCATCCCCTTCCCCCGGTCACCGTATGGTTTGGGATGCTCCGTGGAAACAGGGATAAAATGGTGCAAGGCAGGTTTTGGAGTTAAGGAGGCCCGGGCAGTACTTTGGCCAGAAGTCAGAGAACTTCCTCTGGGCAGGAACTGTATTGTCATTGTGGTTCCTTGGTTATTAGCTGGACTTTTACCAAGTGTTCAGACTTGAATCCTCATGAGACCACTCTGAAAAAGGCAGTACTTTCCAAGGACTTCGCGGTGCAGGACTTGAGAGCACAGGCTCAGATCCACGCATTCCTAGTTGAACGATCTTGAGCACTTAGGTGAGGTCATTGAGCCTCAGTTTTGCCATCTGGAAACTGGGTGTAATCATACAGTTCAGGACTGTTGCAAGGCTTAGTTGAGGGACTGCTAGTAAAGCTTTTAGTAGGGGACCTGGTATATAAAAATACTGACTGTGGGGGCTACGGTCGTGTTCTTGTGCAAACTGTAGAGGAGCTACTTGACACACGGCCAGTAAGTGCCAGAGCTGGGACGTGGACCCACATCTGTCTGGCTGTTCTCTGTCCCTCTGCTCCACGCTGCCCTCAGCTGTCCTCCCTGGGCATCACCAAAGCAGCTGACTGCAAAGAGAGCACTTGGCCCGTGGTTCTTGTCATTTAAAAGTTACATCACAGTCCAGCGGCCCTTGTGTGATACTTGGCTTCAGTCAGCTCCTTGGTATCTGGCTGAGGCGACGGGCCCGCCATCATTCCTACCCTGAGGTCAACCCCGGGAAGCCTCGAGCCTGTGCTCCTCATGGTCAGGAGCAGAGGACACATGTTGAGATGCATCAGCTGCCACCCGGCTGATCCCTAAGTGCATTTTGTGTGCTTGCTTTCTTGCAGGGTGAACATTCTAAAAATTTCTTTCAAGAGGAAAAAGTTCTTTATACATCAGCGACAAAAACAGGTGAGTTACGTCCACGCTTGCTTTGTTTCTTGTTTTTGTAGTCACTTCAGCCATTCGTTCTGCAGCAGGTGAAGGCAGCTGGGCCGTATGTGTGACCGGGGAGAGAGAGCCTGGCATGTGCTGGACAGAAAATGGATGCCGGAGTCCAGAGTGCCCTGTAGAATTCACTGTGCTTATCAGGCTGGACACATAACTTGCTTGGGAGGCAGTGATGATGGATTTGGATCCTTGTTGCTCCACTTCCACTGACCAGCTGGGCAGGTTCCTTCACCTCCCTTAGCCCGAGCTACCTTGTTCCAGCAGTGCAGTAGCACCTGCCTCTTGGGGAATCCGGAAGATTAAGTAAAAGAGCATTCGTCAGAGCACTTGGCATGAGCCCTCTCAGAGTAGCAGTAAATGTCGGCAAGAGCAGGCCCTTCCCTTTATGTGTTTAAAATACACAGTAAGGAAGGGCACCTGGGTAGCTCAGTCGGTTGAGTGTCTGACTTCAGCTCAGGCCACGATCTCGGGGTCCTAGGATCGAGCCCCATGGCAGGCTCTGCGCTCTTTCTCTCTCTCTCTCTCTCTGTCTCTCAAATAAATAAAGTCTTTAAAAAAAAAAAAATAATAGAGTGCACAGTAACTTTCGCCTGTGTCTCCTAAGAGGAGACCCCCTGCTCTCCGGATTACTCTGGGTGAAGAAGAGGACTTGAAGGTATGCAAGCTGAGGCTTCCACAGCTACCGAGGGAGGAACTGGAATTTGAATCCGAGACTCCTGATCTTTCAACAACACCACGCTCTGTCCTGTTAATGCTCTGCGTTTTTCACTTACTGTCACTATGTTCATTTCCCAGGGTTTCAGAGATAATAGGTTCCTAAAATGGCTTCACCTAGCATTGAATTAGGACACTAAAGGACACATGGAAATGAGGACACAGGCTCAGAGCAAACTAGGACTAGAATCTGGGTCTCCTGACACCCTGATTGCAAGATCGAAGGTGGCCCCAAAACGCACGAGGTGGCAATTTAACATGAAAACAGAAAACTTAGGTAGGGTAGAGGTCCAGGAAATGATTAAAGTGATGATATCCGAGGGCTTGATTTAACTCCGTGCTTGGGGGATAAACAGAAATCCAAAGGCTTATAAGATCTCTTAAGTTTCAGATAAATGGAAGAGTTATTTCTTCAGGAGAGATTTTCCCAGAGCTAAATTTTGAAAGAGATGTATCACACAGCCTTTTTCTGGTTGCTCCAAATATATCCAACCCAGGAATGTAAGCACATTGGAAATCGGAGTCTTCATGAAGGATCACAAGTGATGATAAAGAGTAGAGTCAGGTCGTCTTTACCTCGTCAATGAGGTGGTTAACAGACCCTGCTCCTGACTGTTCCTGTAACATTGGTTTGTGGCCTCAGGCATTTCGAAGCTGGTGTTCTGCTGTCTGTCACGTCTTAGCTGATGACCGCCGATGCGGGCATAGAATCCCTGTGAGCCTTTGCTCCTTCATCTGTGCAGATGAAACCTCTACTGTGTTTTTCCTCCCAGACTGAATCCAGGGAACATATCGTGGCCTTCAACATGTTAAATTACCGATCTTGCAAAAACTTGTGGAAATCCTGTGTCGAGCATCATACATTCTTTCAGGCAAAGAAGCTGCTACCTCAGGAAAAGAATGTTCTGTCTCAGTACTGGACTATGGGCTCTAGGAACCCCAAAAAGTGAGTATTCTTTAGGGACGGTATCCACAGTAGACTGAGATGTGAATATGTCCTGATCACCTCCAGGTAGGGGACATCCTCGGGGGGAAGGGGATGCCGTCACCCAGGGGCCCCAGTCACCGGGGCCGGAGCCCCCAGGCTGAAGGTGTCTCCAGGGGCAATAGTATCTCCTTCCGTGCATACTCAGTTACTGCCCATATTCCTATCCTTCGTTTCTACCTCCACAACTCAGCTACCCTGGGAGCACCTAAGCAGCCCAAATTACAACTAGTCCCACACCATGTCACAATAAGGGAAGCACGTGGCCGTAACTCTGAGGGTTGTCGTGCTCCTAAGACATCCTCTCCCACAGAATGTTAATTCCATGCAGTGCTCCCGAATAATGAATGAGCAGGAATAAAGCTTCTCAGAGTCAAGTGGCTTTGGGATATACTGCGTATCACAATCACAAAATAACAGTAATCATGAAAACTGGCAATTGAATGTTTACTTTGTACCATGCACATACTTAATTATATCTAAATTATATTTAAATCCCATGTGTACTAATATCTATGGGAATGATAATCAGAATATTTAATGAGTAGTTCAGTGAAAGAAATTACTCTCCTAAAATTTTAATTCTAAAGTATATTCCTAAGCTAATCCTGCAGTTTATATTTTTGTGTATTTATTCTAAGACTGCCCTCTAAGTACAAGATCTAGCAGAAATTACCAAGTTACTGTAAACTGTGTTGGTTGGTTTGAAAAATTGTTTTCATAATTTTGCATTGCTGTTGATGTGGCTGTTACTAATGAAACAGGGCCCCTGTCTGAGCCATTATCTGATATGTGGGACTGTATCAGACTATTCCAGTGACATTCCTATTATGTTGATAATCATTAGGTAGCTTTTTATAGATTCAATAAGCAGTGAATTTCTGTTAGTATCAGTGATAGTATTTATGGTGCTAAGTGTTCTTTCTCAGCTTCTGATGAACCAAGAACAAATATATTTTCAAAGTTTCCAGCTCCCATAATATTTTCTAGTACTTTATACATTCAGTGGCTCTCAAGGAACGTGTCACAAACACAACTTATGCGAATTGACTGTTCACTTTAGTTGGACCTAAGCCTTCGGGCCAGCTGACAGGATTGGATAGTGAGCAGTGGAAAGCATGGACTTTGCTGAGAAGACTGAGTTCAGATCCTGCCTGTGTCACTTTCAATGTGAATTTACTGTTTGAATTTCCTCATTTCTGTAAAATATAGCCAGCATAGAGTTGGGGGTGGGGTGGGCAGGTTCTGGTTACCCATTATGAGAGAAAAAACTATCCCTATTTTGGTACCATAAAACAACCATCTTGGAGCACCTGGGTGGCTCAGTCGGTTTGGCATCCAGCTCTTGATTTCAGCCCATGTCATCATCTCAGGGTCATGGGATCATGTCCTGCGTGGGGCTCCACACTCAGCACGGAGTCTGCTTGTCTTTCTCCCTCTGCTCCTCCCCCATGCATGGGTGCTCTCTCTCTCTCTCTCAAATAAATAAAATCTTTGAAAAACAAAAGAGCCATCTTTCTGTTCCATTTCAAGATTTTGTGGATCGAGAATTTGGGAAGGGCTTGGCCAGCCACCTCTTCTGCTCTATGCGGTATAGACTGGGGTTTCTCAGCGATAGGCAGCTGGTGGCTGGGCTGGGCTGTGGATCCAAGATGACTTGGCTCCCATGCTTGATGGAATGATTGGAAGGCTGGACTCACCTGGACCCCTTACTTCTCTCTGTTCTCAGGGCCTCTTCATGTGGCTCTCCAGCACAGTTGTTGGGTGTCTTACGCAGAAGTTCAGGGCTCCGAGGGCAGAAGCAGCCAGTCATCTTCGAGGCCAGGCCCAGAACTGGCACAGCTACTCTTGGTCAGAGCAGTCACAGGCCAGCCCACATTCAAGAGTCCAAGAACTTGAGCCATTTTTGACCTGCCACTGGGGGGGTCGATTGGGATATCGGTGATTCAGGGGCACGGGTCAGCAGTTCTTTACTACTAAGACCAACTTCATTGTATTGCAAATTTCAGCCCTCACCGTGTCCATTTTATAGATGAGAAAACTGAGGCTTAGTTCACATGATTTGCCCAACCTTAGAGCTACACCTACATCTTTGCATGTGGGGCCTCCTGATAGAAGTTCCACATAAAAAGAACTTGTTCAGTATTTTGCAAGCTTAAGGGACAATGGAACACTTTTTTTTTCCCCATAAAAGTATCTATTAATAACCTGTGACACATACTTTAGGGAACTGTGACATTAAACTTTTAAATCCTCTCGCTTGCTCCCCTTGTTCTGAGGCAATGTTCTCAATCAACGCTAATTTGCTTTCTGATGTAGATTCTCTTAGTGATGCTGCTGTGAATGTTTTGATCAGGGTGACAATGGTATTTCTTACTGTAAATTAGTACATTGATATTCTAGGGAGAGTTTCATGTTCTTCTGGGTTTTTTGTCCTCTTTTTGTTTATTTGTTTGGCTGCAAGGAAATGCGTGGAATGTTTTGATAAGACATTAAAACATTGTTTAAAATGTAGGAATGGCAGAACTGAGTTTCCTTTAAACTGACTTCAAACCCCATCCTTTCAAAGAATTCATTCCTTGATGGGTCTAGGTAGCTACGATTTAAATTCTCTAGGTATAAATAAAACACGAAAGTTAGCTTCAGGGAGGCCCATTCAGATAGCACGTGGCCTGGAACTCCACCACCGAAGCATATTTTCGGGCCTTCTTTCAAAGAGTTATCTGTGATTTATAGCTAATGGCTTCTGCCAGCTAGGATGTTGAAGAGCACCTTCCTGGAAGGATGGTTAATGTTTGTATTCATGCCATTGTGAGTGACGTGAAAATTCCTTGAAGTTATTTGAGCTGTATTTCTATGTTATCCTGAAAATGCCTTCTCATCTTGTGGTAAGGTTTGGTTATATTCTGAGAGCAACTTCATCGCTTGCAGTAGTAGGGCCCAAGAAAATATTTTCACCAGAAGAGAAGAAACGACAAGGGAAGGCCAGGACAGAAGGGAACTACTTTGGACCTCGTACCTCTACTTTGTAACCTTGGCTGGTGTCATCCAGGTGCCAACCAGCCCTCCACCAGGGAGGGAGCATGGACAGACTGTTTCTCTTATGGTGTAATTTCTTGTTGAACACGTCTGTCCATGTAGAAAGTGAACCTTGCTTCTGGTTTTTCAGGTCTGTAAATAACCAGTATTGCAAAAAGGTGATTGGAGGGATGGTGTGGAACCCAGCCATGCGGAGATCATTATCAGCGGAACACTTAGAAACCAAGAGCCTGCCTTCTCGGTCCCCTCCCATCACTCCCAACTGGTACGTCCGCCTTTTTTTTGTTCTGCCCACCCGTAAACACTTGATCTCTCTTAAAAAACTCAACTTCCTAAGTTTTCACAATATAGGTGGCCCACAATCAAAGTTTACATTCGCATGCTTGGCTCTTGCGGAATGAACAGTTTACTGTTTTCATGACATGCGCAAGCCTAGCTAAACATTTTCCTTAGTGTGTGATGCTGGGATGTCCTTTTTCCTAAAAAGTTATTTGGTCTGAATTTGAGAACTACAGCCTACTGAAACGCCCCTCTTGGAATTAGAGTACACACTGGCATATTAATGTTCTGGGGAGTCTTGTGATAAGGAAGCACACTGAGCTTTACTTTATCTGTGTTCCGTTAACATCACACAAAATAAGCTTTGGGGAAACCTAGTAAAGGGTTGCAGTGTAGGATGTGTGGTCCTCAGCTGCAGTAGCAGATACACTTGGGGAAGTAGCCTGTCTTTAAAGGAAGAAAGTGGCAGTTGGCAAAGTGGGAAGGGCAGTGTGTAGCTCCATCACCCGGACTCAGATTTGGGCTCTTTTGTTAATTCACAAGTTTCTTTACCTCTCTGGTCTCAGTCTGCCCATCTGTCAAAGGGTTCAAAAAAATCACCACAAGTGATTTAACAGTGTACAAGTGCTTTGTAAGTGAAAAAAAAAAAAAAAAATCGGGTGGAATTTTTGTTGTTGTTATATTAGAATGTTGTTCCTCAGAGACATCAGGCCAGTTTTGTGAATGGGTCTGAAATGGCCAGGCATCGTCTTGCAGGAAGGGAAACCAAGCCAGAAACATTACCCCAGCTCCACACTGGACTGGAGAGTATGGCTTTGTATTCATGTCACAAAAGATGCAGGTGGACCTGTGAATTACCAAGGAGGGGTCTCTAGGACTAAGGGAGATTCTAACAGGCACAAAACGGGGCTGCTGTGCAGGGCCGCTGGGTGAGGACTCCCCCCGCCGCCCGGGGCCAAATTCTCTAGGCAGAGATGCTGATGGTAGTTAGTGTTAGAAGTCATAGCATGACTGAGTAGATTTGTTTCTTGGTTTCCCAAGATTTAGGCACTTCATCCTAGAGTGGTAAATCTATGCTGTAAAGTAGCAGCTCAATTTGTTTGAAAGCCGCTGGGGCGGCAATGCCAGGGCCCAGGAACGGAGGCCCAGGACAGCATCCAGGAGAACAGCGGGGTTTGATGTCACCACACCCGTGGCCTGGAGCTCTTACTGCTATTTATAGGTCCCCTCCTGAGGAGTCACGAGCCTTCCTCCTCTACTCTGGACACAGTATTATTGATTACCTGGGCCCCGGGGGAATGGGAATAGTGGAGGCCCTGACAGTGTCCAGGAGAAATGGCTAAGGAAGAAGAAGCTAGAAAAACGGAGAGAAAATAGAAGAAGGCTCAGCAGCCTGGGGTCACCCACTGCAGGAGGCGTCCAGAGAACATTGCTTCATTTGGTTCGTTCTCAGGAGCAGGTATGTACAGCTGAGGCCCAGAGAGGTGGTGTGACTTGCCTAAAGACAGGGTGGTACTGCTGTGCCCGTCTAATAGGGCATACAGGGTACATTTTTAAAAGCAAACATTTTGGGGCACGTGGGTGGCTCAGTTGGTGAAGCATCTGCCTTCGGCTCAAGTCATGATCTCAGGGTCCTGGGATTGAGCCCCGTGTCGGGCTCCCTCTCTCTCTGCTGCTCCCCCTCCTTGTGCTCTCTTGCTCTCTCTGTCAAATAAATAAAAATCTTTAAAAAAAAAAAACAAAAACAGAAACATTTCTTCTTGGATTAAGTGAAATTCACATGAAGGGATGTAGTTGAAGTAAGGTTTCGGTTTTGCCAAAAACTGTACTTTGGCTTCTAAACCCATTACTTAATACTGGTGTTCGAATGAATCCAAAGAATTGATCAGTAGTCAGTATGGTCTATTATTTGGGCATTGAGAGCTTGAGTCTTCCTAGAAGAATAACTCACCCTAAATCAACACTCACAACCTCCCAAGGGCCATAAATTAATCTCATCTGCCTGTTTTTACAGCCGAGGCTACCGTTCTGGGGGTTACAGCACAGGGGCTGAGAGTATCAAGGACTCATGGCCCTGGGTGGATTCTGGTGTAGTAATGGGTTAACCGGTTCTTAATTTACAACAGCATCAGCCAAGGCATCCTTAGGTCAGGGCACAAAGTTAGATCCCTAATGCCTGGTAAAGTTTTTAAGTGGAATCTGCTTTCAACACTTCACACTCGACCTTTCCCCCACACAGGCGAAGTCCTCGGCTCCGGCACGAAATCCGAAAGCCTCGGCACTCTTCTGCCGATAACCTTGCGAACGAGATGACCTACATTACCGAAACCGAAGATGTATTTTACACGTACAAGGGCTCCCTGTCCCCAAAAGACAGTGAATCCGAGGTTTCTCAGAACCGAAGCCCGCCCCGAGAGTAAGAAACATGTTCTGTTCTTTGTATCTGCTTGTTTTGGCTGTTGAGGAATTTGCTCAGGCCCAGAGATGGCCATTTAAGTCAAGGGCTGGAGCCTGCAGCCAGCTCCCTAGGCTGCTCTCTGCCGGGATAATAGCATACATCAGACTGTCCCTGCCGCCGCAGGGGGACAAGCTGTATGCCTGGGGTCTCGAGCTTGCGCTTCTTTTTGTGTATGACAAAGACCTACTCTCCACAGACATGTTAGCTGCCTTGAATCATCTCCAGTTCATGAGCAAAGCCCCGTTTAGATCAGTTCCCATTCCAGAGCTATAGATATGTTAACCTTAATAGTAGTTTTTCTCTAGATTGCCAAAGTTTTAACCACTGCAAGATTTCTAGATCGCTGGAGATAGACTTACTTGTACCCTTCCACAGAAAGCCTTCTCAGATCTACAGTGTGCCCTCAGGGTTTTTTGGGGAGAGGGGGTTGTTTTTAATGAATCGTTAGTGTAAAGCAAAAACACGCATAGACCATCTCCTGCATTTTTGTTAAATTTTTGTTGACAGTTTGCATTAAATTCTTTTATGTCCCCACTTTCCCTTTTTTAAATGTGACAAACTCCCTTCCCGTCGCAAGGCCAGGGGAAAAAACGTCTTTCCAAAAGTACTGGCTTGAGCTCTTTGATTATTCAATAAGCTGTATCGAAATCACTAGTTCCCTTCGGTCTTGATTTAGCAAAGAACTCAGAGCTCCACGTTAGGCGCAGTGCATTGGCTTCCCTTACTCCAGTTCCTGAGATAGTGCCTACTTTTCCCTGCTTTATTCATGGCTCTTATTTTTTTTTTTATTGTTATATAAATCACCATCATTGCTCTTATTTTTTTTCCTTAATGAATTCATAGCTCTGCTCCGTACATTTTAGAGTAAGCGATCTCAAATCAAGTTTTTGAGGTGGACAGACCTAATCATAAATAAAATGACATTTTAAGCTGAAGTATGAGAGGACTATATCAACCATTAGGAAGTCAACCGTAGGCGTTTGGTATTGATGCTGTTTAAGTGCCATACTATACCTGAAATAATAAGGAAACACAATGCCTCCCCTAATGGCACAGGATTAGCGAGAAGGCACTTTAGTTTATCTGTAAATTTTTACCACTCTAGCTGCTAGGTTTATGGCATTCAGCGCACCCTGATTGTATTCTAGACATCGCAGGTGAATTGCAAATCTGGCTTCTTCCTTATGTGTGAGGTTGTTACCTCTCTGGTGACCGCAGCAAACATGGTTTCCAGCTTATCTGTGTTCTTAACACCTCTGGTTAAATAATCCTCTGGTCACTGTTTCCTTGTGACTTGAGCTCGGATGATGCTTTTGTTGAAATGATCACTATCTCTTGCTCCAACTTGCAGCCCTGTTGAAGTGACAGTGTGGAAGGGTGTGAGTTCCTTTGTGTGACACCATGGTTTTGCAAATCTAGATAGACAAGGCAGGAATGCAGACATGCATGACTTGAGCCAGTTTGAGTTGGCGATGGGGTGGGGTTCTGTAGCTTTGGGGAAAGGAGAAAGAGGGTTTGGGAAACGGACTGAGGGCTCTGGGGAGCTCAGTCTCACCCCCTCCATGTCAGCCCTTCCTCTTGTGGTTTGCAGTCCCGTCATGGAATTGTGGACCATCCAGACTCCCGTGGTCCAGTGCCGTAGCCATTAAGCATGTGTGGCTATTCAGATTTAGGTTACTTAACATTTAAATCCCATTCCTCAGTCATCTGAGCCTCATTTCAAGTGCTCAGAAACCACATGTAGGTAGCGACTACCGCGCTGGACAGAACAGATAGATACCTTTCCATCATCACAGAAAGTGCTACTGGCAGTACTGATCGGTGCCGGGTAGAGAGAGATGGAGTCTGTCTGGTAGGGTGTGGATGTTTTCCAAGGCTGCATGCGTTGCTGAGCACAGTAGCACACCATATACACCCTTTGCTGCTCACGGAGGGAACATCAAGGCAAATTAGACAAGTGTCTGCTTTTAGGGGCCGCCAGGCCAGCCGGGCAAATAGCACATTGTCAGCTTTCAGCACTGCATCTTCTACCACCTTGGTAAAAGGAAAGAGTTTGGGGAACGGTCTGAGGGTCCTGAGAAGCACAATTACATGTCCCATGTCAGATTTTCCTGCTGTGGCCTGCCACCCACATCATGGCATCGTGCAGCAGCTAGACCCTCACTGTCCAACACAGAAGCCACTAGCCACATAGGGCTATTTAAATTTACATTCAGGGGCGCCTGGATGGCTCAGCTGGTTAAGCAGCTCACTCTTGCTCTCAGCTCAGGTCTTGATCTCAGGGTCATGAGTTCAAGTCCTGCATTGGGCTCCACACTAGGCAGGGAATCTACTTAAAAAAAAAAAAGAATTTACACTCATTAAAATTAGATTCAAAATTCACTTCCTTAAGTCCTGTTTGATTCAAGTAATTTCAGGCCCCGTGCACCCCCTATGCATGGCACATCAATTCTTTGAAACTCCTCCATGAGACCTTGTAAGATGTGTCATCCTGGGGCACTTTTTATTTTGCACCTAAATGTTCAAAGTGGCAAATAATGGTGATTCGGAGGCAGCCTTCCTTGTCGTGGCTCTGCCCATAGATGTGTCTTACGGAGTCACGTTAACGGCCGTGCGCAGCAAGTGGGGTGAGCAGGTGAAAAATGACAGGCCCTACCTCCTCAGGTGGGGGACCCCTTCCTGCTGGTAGGATGCTGCCTCCCGCTGGGTCTTCAGAGGCGGCTGCCCCCCGCAAGAGTCTAGGGGCCCTCCACTGCCCAAGGCAAGCAGGCAAGGTTGGTCTGTGTTTGGTGAAAAAAACCCAGGGTAGTTACTTGAGTGCGTATTTATTTGCAAGGTGTTCAAGAAATGTCTGACATATTTTATACAGCCTGTTTGTGCTAAGAGGCAAAAAGAAGTATTCTGTCAGAAATCAGAAGAATAATATTACAGTCTGGAGGGTTCCTTGTAGAAAGGAGAATTCAGTGTAACGTTCGTACCCATGTAAACAAGAAGAAGAAAGAGAAAGGAAGAAAAAGAGCAGATAGACTTTGGCTCTCAACCCAGAGTGGCGCGGCTCAGGCTCTCTGAACATTCTCTTAGCGGATGAGTCACCGTCCGGGTTGTTCCGTATTTATAGCAGCACAGCCAAGTTTATGATTATAGTTATGAATCCTTGGCAGTTTGCTTTGTGCCCGAGTCCGCTGTACCCTTTCGTTACTCCCAGGGTTCTCTCAGCCCTTCCGTGTTCCTTTGCTTGCTTCAGAGCAGAGGTGGAACTCTGCAGGAAAGGAAGTTTTCTTAATGGCAAAAAAAAAAAGGGGGTTTTTTTTTTTTTTTATATAAAACCCACCACTCCCTACCACCGAGAAAATATGGGAGGGGAGGTTCCCTAAAGGAAAAGTGACTTTGCAGAACAGAGGCTGGTGGAAAAGCCACTTCGGCGCAATGGAGGGTTGTATTTGAAGAACTTCTTTGTTGCTGCTTTTCCACAGTTGTCCTGGTGGGTCCTCCAAGGGCATGGGGCTCTGTGTTGTGATGCCTCGATATTTGCTTGCTTCTCTCTTTAGAGCCTGCCTTGTTCCAGGGGACACGGGCGGCTGTCATTTTTTATCTCAAAACTCTGTGCAGGTGACGATGTGAATGCACTTAATGCTACGGAACTATACACTTCAGAAAAGGGTGGAATGGTACATTTTATAGTGTCTGTTTACCCACCACTACTGAACGCTTTTAAGAACTTCTGCGCATTGAGAGGGACTCTGGGAATGCCCTGTGGAGCCACACCGGCCGTGCAGGAACGCCCCCAGCCCTGCCACCCAGTCGCCCCGCCGGCGGCCGGGAGCTGTCCTGCAGTGTGGCAGCCTGACCTGGTGCTGGGCATCCCTGTTGTCCAGCCTGTGCAGGAAGCCTTGTCCTGGACGCTGGCCCAGCACGAGCCCTGCCGTCCACAGATCCCTGCCTGGAGCTCCTGGACAGCGCAGGTAGCGTCCGTTTCTCATTCTCCCTGACACCCCCTGTTGACTCTCCTTTAAGTTACTTCCCATCCCGTCGGCCACAGGCCACCCTTCAGCCTGCTAGTCACCGTTCTCTGCACGTCAGTCCTGGACTAGAGCATGACTCTGTGTACGTCTAAGGGTCTCTGTCAGAGGAGGCCCGCCCACCACGGGGCTGCATTAGCGGTTCTGTGTTCTTCTTCCCTGCACCTGGCCTGTCCTCCACCAGGCATCCGTCCACTTGCATGTGGATGTGTGACCGACACTTTAAACCCCAGGGACCCCGGTCCCCACTCACTGTCTTCCTGTCCCACCTGTGGCTCCTCCTCGGTCTTGGCGAGTGGGGACTGCATTTCGCTACCACCCTGTTAGCACCCATTGGAAACTTGAGTCATCCTAGACTCCCTTTCTTCCACCCTCCTCTGCGAGGTCCTCACCTCAGTAATCTTCCTCCCAGACTGCTCTCAGATCGGACCCCTGCACGATGCCACTGCGCGGCCCGCGGCCGGCCACCGTCCTCAGTCGTGGGGACCGTCGCGATCATGCCCGTAGCCTTGGGTCTCCTCCTCACAAGCCAACAGGCTTCTCTTTGGGAAATTTGTGCCCCAGCAAGTCACGCCCCTGTGCTTTTTCAGAGTTTTATGCCTCTGCATATGCTGCTGTTTTGTCTTTTTTGTTATTAGTATTTTTCCTAGACCACCTTCTCCTTCCCTCTCAGCTACCTGTTCAGACTCCTGCTAAGTCGTCTCTCAAACTCCAGACCCAGTGCCTCAGTGAAGGCTCTCCTGGCCTCCCACTGTACCCCAGACATCTGAGCATCTCCAGTGCAGCACGATGATATTCTTTATTTTTATACTTTTATGTCTTCTCTCAAACTAGACCCTGAGCTCTCTCTAGCCCCTCACACTCCTGTTATGGCCGTAGCTCAGGAACATCAGCATCTCCTGAGAGCTTGATGGAATTGTGAACCTCAGGCCCACCCCAGGCCTGCTGAATCAGAGTCTGTGTTTTAACAGGATCCTCAGGGGACCTATATGAACGTGACGTTCTCAGAAGCTCTGAGCTCACCGAAGCTAAGAACTATGTAGCTAACCTTTTACCACCCCTCCCCCGCCAGCTTCCAGGTGATCGAGTGAATTCTGTGCTCTTCTAGAGTAATTCAGCCAAGCCCAGGTACTTGAGTAAGGTGGTTTTCTTCTTCATTCACTGAGCACCTTGCTTGAGCTCTCATTGCGTGCCCGGCCGGGTGTTATGTGCCCTAGGATAGGAGAGAAAGAAGAAGTGGACGAAGGTCTCTCCCAATCTGAAGAAGCTCATAGACTCAAGAGAGAAATGTCACAGCAAATGGCCCCTGTTCTGTGACACCCATACAGCACACACCTCCTCACCGGGCGCCCGGTTAGAGCCAGGACGCCCTCTGTGGAGCACAACATTGCTCCCTCTAACAGGCTTGAGGGTGCAGGTCATTGTCCTTTCGTAGGGCTTATGGAAGCGTGGTATAAAAGCATCACGATGCAGAAGTCTTTCTTTCATGGGCAGTCCTACCATTTATAATTTCTTTGGCTGAGGAATGAATTCTAATGGCTTTTGTTTTTCATACCTGTAGTCAGGGGCACTTAGAGTTCTGAAGCATCTGTTTCCTGAAGGTGAATACCCTTTGGTCTGCCTGTCAGTCTGTCCTTGCCCCTGTCTCCCCAGGGAGCTGGAGGTGGACAGGCCTTCCCTGGCTGCTCTCGATCCCAGACAGCAGTGACAGTCCCCCCCCACCGTGTCTCCCCTCCTCTGACAAGTGCCCCCTCCCTGCCCTGGGGAGAGACCTTCTTCCCAGTTACTGGCTTTGTCAGCCCACACTGGCTTCTTGCTTTGGCTCGTCCTACCCCTTTCTTCACTCCTTTCCCTAGAACCCAGGTACCCCTGGCAGCTCCCCTCGTCCCTCCTCACCCACCAGGCTCTCCCTCAGTAGCACCTCATCTCCTGCCCCAAGGAGGGAGGAAGCCCACTTGGTTTGGCATTTTGGCTCCTGGCATCCGTGTGCTGCATCCAGCTGCCATGTTCTTGTTGCTTCTCATTTGATGTCCTCCTCACCATCTGTCTGTCCATCCTCCACGCTGAGCAGAACGTTACTGCAGCCTACAGGGAACGTCTGTACATAGTTGATCAGCCAAAAAAAAAAAAAATCGTCATATGTTTAATAAATTGCTCTCTAAAAGTAACCTCTCTATCCCTACTTAGAAAATAGGATTGGGCACATAATGACTTGGAATATATTATTTTTAGCACTGTGGGCTGTGTTAGACCGTTACATTTTATACTGAAAAAGAAAAATACTTCAAAACTTTATATGATGTAAGCCACACATTCAAAATGTAGAAATTAAATATAATGAATATAAAATTAGACTTTTACTGAAATTAGTCTGTTCTCTTCTGCTCTGTCACTTTGCTTTTCTGGATTTTTTTTGTTTATATGCCCTTCACCCTTTCTGTCACTATCACCCTCCAGAGTCTCCCAAACGTTTGAAGTGTGTTTGCTATTTGCAACTTCATATTAAAGGTTCATTTCCACCCCTAGAACTGGAAATAGTGTTTCCTAAACCGGGTTTGGCTTGATAATTTTGTCTGGCAACTGCCAAGCAGTTGCCCCTCCTGCCACTAGGGGGTGCTCATATAAACATGAAACCGGCCAAGTTACCCTATTTGGGGGTAATTTTTTTAAAGCTTTAAGTAAATTAAAGATTTGTTCATCTTCACTCTGAAAACTTACCACTGGCATACAGCTTCACTTCCAAAATATCCTGTCTCTGAATTGCCTTCCCATCCATAGCACCCTTCCCTAACCCAGCAGCTCGAAAGCCATAGTGCCAAACTCTAGTCTTGCATATCGCTGTTATTTCTACACTGGTCTGTCACTGAATTTTTATATTCACATAAATTGAGATTGTGAATTATTGTGTGACTATGATACAGATTTTATATTTAGAGTAAGATCATTTGAACTTGCTAAGAAACAGAGAAGCCCCAATTTAATGAAAAATCCGCAGAGAAGGGTTTGAGATAAAAATTTAATGAGGCAGCAGCACCTGTCTTTTGTCTGTTATGTGTCACTGAATGCCTTGTCTACTCTCCTCTGTCATCTCTTAAGTCCGTTTGAGGTTAGAATGTGGCAGAGTCTGTAGAAGGTAAGGAAAACCCTATATTCTGTAGGCATTTTAAGGCATCTTTTGCTAGGCCTGTGACTCTGGAGGGGAGATAATGTGGGTGTGTGTGATGCAGAGAAGTCGAGTGTGACCGCTGAGATGGTTAATCCCTGTGGCCCTCTGTGGTGGGGCGGAGGGGGTCTTAGGAACAGACTTGGTGTGGCCCAGAGAAGAAAGAGATGCTCCAGGACCCAGGTCCATCAGATTCTGTATGTTAAGTGAGGGGAAAGCTGATCGCCCTTGGGCAAGTCACTCAGCCTCTCTGGACCATAGTTTCTTCACCTGTGAAGTGGGAGTTGGACCAGAGGACTTCAGAGGTCTGTTCAGTTCTCATCGTCTGTAATTCTCTAAGACAGCACTGTCTAGTAGAACTTCCTGTGCTGATGGAAATGTTCTGGGGGCACCTGGGTGGCTCAGTTGGTTAAGCGTCTGCCTTCTGCTCAGGTCATGATCTCAGGGTCCTGGGATCAAGCCCCACATCAGCTCTCTGCCCAGCAGGGAATCTGCTTCTCCCTCTGTGCTCTCTCTCTCAAATAAATAAATAAAATCTTTAATAATAATAATAAATAAATAAAATCTTAAAAAAAAATGGTCTGTAACCATGCCATCCAAAACAGGAGCCATAAGCCTTGTGTGGCTCCTGAGCATTTTTGAGATGTGACTGATATAACCAAGGAACTTCCTGATCTTCATTTAAATGTGAATGGCCGCGGGAGGGTATATATTAGAGGTGAAAAAAGTATAATCTCATTTTAGGCAATTAATGGAGATCACAGGGAAATAATGCAAACTAGGATTAATATAAATTGTCTTGGATGTGGAACATTAGTCCCATTTGGGGGGGGTGGGTAGCCAAGAGTCCTAATGACACAGAGCTAAGAGCAGGAATGAGATGGGAGGGAAAAGCTTTTAGAAGGGATGGAGGCATGCATCTGAGTGAGCTTCAGTAATTAAGCCACCAGAGTAGCTGGGCACATTTCCCTGTCACCTTCAGAGCAGCTGGGAAGGGAGCTGAGTTTTCAGCAGCTCCTGGATCCTCCCTGCCCTCCTGCCTTTTTCCCCAAAATTAAAGCTGATGATATTCAGGCCAGACAAGGGCAAGGGCGGCCCGTGGACCCCGGGTGTACCAGAGCCCTGGGATTGACCTGTAGAGCTCTCCTAAGGTTGCAGGGATTCATGACAGCCCTGGGATGCCAGGCCCTGACAGTCAATAATGCTTGCTCTGCTAAAATGTTGATCCAGTTATTAAGATATCTCCTCCTTCCCCATAATGAAGGAGTATATCCGAGAACAATCCAGCACAAAGCTGCCTGACCCAGAAGTCATCCAGTTCTGTGTCTCCATCTTCAAATGCTCCAGGCTCCTGCTCACCAGATGGCGTCGATCAGCAGTTCTTAGAGGATTTCCACAGGGTGACCAAAGGGGGCTCCACCGAGGACTCCAGCCAGTACTACTGTGACAAGGTGGGTGAACTTGGGTCCTGTGGCAGTGGAGGGGGCAGGCGACCACCCAGGCTTCCCTGTGCCCAGGCACCTCATGGGCAATTTAAGTAATTAGGACCAAGAGAAAATATCTCCTCACCACCCACAGGAGAGAGAAGTAACATAATCATTTTTGCAACATTTTCCAGAATGATAATGGTGATGGCTATTTAGTTTTGATCCGCATCACGCCAGATGAAGATGGAAAATTTGGATTTAATCTGAAGGTATGTTGTGTGTCTTTATAAGGAAGCCATCTTTAGATGGCTTTTAAATTTCCGTTAGGAGTGTGCTGCATGCCTAAGTCTACATGAGGAAACTGACTCAGCCCTCAGAATTGGGGAGTTTTTAATGTGGCCATAGAGCTGCCTCACGCCAAGGGCCTACTCTGTGCTTGGTGCTCACTGTGCACTTCTTTATGTCACCTCATTGAGTGCTTATAATCGGTGAAGTTGGTATTTTTAAACCCGTTTCATAAATGTGTACTAAGGCTCAGAGAGGTGACACACAGTTGGCCAAGTAGCTCCACCTCCAGAAGAAGGGTTTTTGAGGGAACCCATCAGCATCACTAAAGCCGATGAGAGAGAATAGCAGCGCAAGTTCCAGGGTCGTCACCCACTTCTGCCGGCTTTGGCCCACAAGTCACATCCCATCTGTTTCTGCAAATAAAGTTTTATTGGAACGTGGCCACACCCATTCATTTTACAAGTAGTTATCGGCTACCTTCACACTGTGGTGGCAGAGTTGAGCAATTGGAACAGAGCCCCCTCTCCGATACCTAAAATATTTACCCTCAGGCACTTTACAAAGTTGCCTAACCCCTGCTCTAGAGCAGAATGAGGGCAGGTGGTCTCCGCTGCCCACTCCCACAGCTGCCACCTCAGACTCCCCTTCCTATACCCCAGCACCCCCCTGAGGACCTGCCCTCACAGCATGTGACTTTTTCTACAGCTTCTCTCTCTGATGCGGAAAACTCCCTTTCCAGCAACACTTCTAGGCTGTGCTTGTGGAGTCCTCTGGGGATGTTTGCATTTTTAAAAAGAAGCTTGACCCTCCGAGCACGTCTTTAGTTCATGGAATGTGGGGATGGCAGTGAGAGGCCTCTGAGCAGTCCTCTGGTTATCCCACTAGACCCTACAGAGTCAGGAACCTTGTAATCCCAAAAAGATGCCAACCCTTGGGATTAGAATAGGTTAAAGTGAAGTTCGAGCCCTCCCTGTGTCAGCGATATCTGTGTGTCTTTGTTGCTATGAGCTATTCAAGTGTTTTGTTTTTCAATTTAACATGTTTATAGGGAGGAGTGGATCAAAAGATGCCTCTTGTGGTATCAAGGATAAACCCAGAGTCACCTGTAAGTGAACACATTTCGTTCTCTCCTACGTTTGTTTTCTGTTAAATCTAACATTTCTATTTCTGTGTGCTGTTTCTTTACCAGCAACAAAAAGCGTGTGTCAATGCATGCGTATAAATGGAAAGAGAGAATGGAATCCATGTTTTTTCCAGAATTTTGCTGGTCCATGTAGCACCAGCATCACCTGAGAACTCATTAGAAATGTGGAATCTCAAGCCCCACCTGACCTCCTAGACCAGAATTTGCACTTTTAACAAGATTTCTGGGTGATTCGTGTGCACATTAAAATTTAGAAGTACTTTCAAGAAAAGGAAACTGAGGCACAGAGTATGTTTCTCTGCTCACTCTGTGCGCATAAACCCACCATCCCACCACCAGCACCCTGCCCTCTGCCCTCTGTCTAGCCTCCTCAGGAGAGGGTTTGCTTTTCTAGAGCAGTAAGCAGCAAAGAGTCACTATGTCTCCTAAGAAGGAACCAGGTTGGGAGTTTTACTTGTAAGTAGTCCTCAAGCATGTAGTTTACTTTTTCTTACTGCTTATGGCCTCTTCAAATTAAGAGGCTTCTGTTCCTACACTGTTCAGTGCATTGCTTCTCTCCATGCTGGTTTCTGCCGTTGGTCTTATGCTGACAGAGGCTTTCTCTGTTGCAAGATAGACAAACACGTTTGGCTGACAAATCATTTTCTAACAGCACATCGAGAAAACAAAAGCTCAGAAGCCTCACAGTTACTACATTACAGTAATAAGTGAAGATTGGCTATCACAGAGGAATGGCTTCAGTAAGTTTCGTAGCTTTATTCTGAAATGCTGCATGACTCACATCATGACCATTTACAATCCCACAACCCACAACCATGTCAGCATAGCAGCAGATAGAAAAATAATGGCACGGTCACACCCGAGGGAGAAGAGAACTCAAACATGGTCTCAAGTGTCTGGACTCCAAGAGCATCCATGTCCTGCCCTTGAGGATTGTGTTATGGTAACCGAAGAAACTCGCTTCTCCTCTCTACCCAGGCAGACACCTGCATTCCTAAGCTGAATGAAGGGGATCAAATTGTGTTAATCAATGGCCGGGATATCTCAGAACACACTCATGACCAAGTGGTGATGTTCATCAAAGCCAGCCGGGAGTCCCACACGCGGGAGCTGGCCCTGGTGATCAGGAGAAAAGGTAACAGCCGCCGCAGGGGAGGAGCCTTAGCGAGGTGGGGCCCTATCTCGCCCGTTCCATGGTTTTGAAAATGTTGAGCCTGTAGCCAACATTGGACAATCAAGAACTTGCGCTTCACAACCAAGATGTGGAACTTCTCACTTGCAAAATGTGAAGATCTGCCCACGCAGGGCCCAGCCCCTGGTGGCCAGCCCTCTGGAGGTAGGCAGCACTCACCCACCCCCTTTACACGGGACATGAGCCCTGATCCCTCCCAGGATGGCTCCCCCTGCATCATGCCCCTCTCTCAGCTGCCTGGCCCTGCAGACATTTGTGTTTTCAGCCCCTTCATGAAGGGTCGGGTTCTGTTGAAGTCAGTAGAGCAGAGCATCCGGGGTGATCCTACCTCCACCACTACTGGGCTGAGGGACCTCGAGCAAGTTTCTTGCCCAGTTCGTGCTTCAGTTCCCTCTGATGTAGGGTAAGGGTACAGTAACCACTCCGTCACGGGGTTCTTGTGAAGACGGACTGATGCTTAGACTTGGAAGGCACCTAGAATGCTTCCTGATACCAGGCAGGCGTTTGAAGGATGGCTTCTTTTAAATACCATGACTTGTGTTGTTGTGGTGGTGGTTGTAAAACAAGCCAAGTCCTTGAATCCTTCTGCCCAGGTTTAAAATACTGAAGGGAGATGAAGCGTGTGATTTGAGGCCCGGCTGCGCAACCTGTGTTCTGGCTGCACAGGTGTCTGTATGCCCAGTCCCCAGACCCCCGCGCCTGCTTTCCCTCTGTACCCGTACATCTCTGAGCCCAGAGCTGGCTGCGAGTGTGAGGCCTTGCCCCATCCTTCCCGACCCCTGCCACCCCCCCCCCCCCGCCCCGCCAACCACCGACGCCACGCCCAGCCAGGCCGGTGTTCAGTGTTTAGGGGCCATAGTTGCTGATGTCGAGCAGCACCAGGCAAAGGGTCCTGTGCTGTGCCTATGGCTTTATGTAACCCTCTTAGATCAGTACTTAGGTCAGTACGAGGGAAGGGATGAGGAAACCAAGTCACAGACTGCCTAATGATGGGAAACGAATCCAGTGATGGGGAGTAGGCCTCCTCACAGGATGCACCCCGGGGCACGCGGACCATCCTGGTGGGGGGGGTGCGGACTAGAGTCCTCAGGCCAGGCGGGGGGAGGAGAGTCCTCCACCAGCCCGTGGCAGGGGCTGGCGCTGGTCTGAGAGGGAAAAAATAGTTGCTTGTAAACTATTAGAGCTAAAAGGGCAGGGCCACAGGCTGTCTAGAACTAATGATAAGGAGTTTGTTTTTTAAATAAACATTTAAGTAAAAATGAATTGACTGAATGAAAAATAAGTAAACAGCATAGGGAGTAGCAGACATAACAGAAATCATATCCTTACAAAACAACAGAAGCAGTGTGCTTCCAGGGTCTGTGGAAAGAATGTGGTCTTTTGGATCAGAGATATGTAGACTGGACTCCTGTCTGTGCCCCCCCACCCCCTGATAGTCTGGGTCACTTTGGACACTTTAGACAACTTCTTCACCCTGATGGTCCATTTCCTCAACTGTAAAATGGGGACAATGGCAGCTACTTCAACATTCGGTTCAGCTATGTGGGAAAATGCGTGGTTATTTTCCTTCTTCTTTCTTGTCGTCTTGAAGGCAGTAGGGAGCCATTGAAGGCTTTTGAGTAAGAGTGACTTCCCTTCCTAGGTGAAAAGGGAAAATTGAGAGATGATGCCAAAGTTTCCAGTTTGGGAGATCGGAGAAGAAAGTGGCAGTGGACAGAAAGAGGCACGTGAGACTGGGGAGGAAGTTAGTATAGGGCAGGGATGGGGGAGATCCCAGGTTTGCCTTTACCCAGAGGAGTCTGATGGGAAGGGAGAATCTGTACGGACGAGGTAGGACTGAACCCAGAGGAGGTGTTAGGACTTGATACATTTACTTGGGAACCTCCCACCTAAAGATGGCCTTGAGGGAGAGGCTGACTGGGCTCTGTGGGATAAAGCGGTCATAAAGTGCCCATGAAAAATACTTGTTTTAAGGAAGCAAATGAAAGGGACCTGAGAAAGAAACAGAGGAGGGGAGACAGTTGGGTGGAATAACCAGGTCAGAGAGAACAAAGGTGGAGGAAGTAAGGTTTCTTTAAAGACATTCTTTCCCTTTCTCCCACCTTTGTCAAAAGGCTCTGAGTACAAAACACCATCATTTAAAACTAACCAGAAAGATTAGTATGTCATTTTTTATAATTAGCACTTACTGAATCATTCAAGAAGTAGTGTCTTTGGTGAAAGTGATTACCATAAGCTTAATCGTTTAATAAGCTGTTTTAAACCGTCTGCATTCAGGTGCCATAAGTGTGTGTGTATATATACATTTTTTTTTTTTTGAGGAAACAGATCTACCAGAATGTTCCTACCCCTGCCAGACACACTCTTTCTTGTTCACTACAGCTGTGCACTCATTTGCTGACATCAAATCTGAAGATGAACTGAACCAGCTTTTCCCAGAGGCCATTTTCCCCATTTGTCCGGAGGGTGGGGACACCTTGGAGGGATCCATGGAACAGCTAAAGAAGGGCCTTGAAAGCGGGACAGTACTGATCCAGTTCGAGGTAAGAGACCTCGAGGGCCAAGTCCTGCGCCCATGGGGAGGCCACAGCAGCCTCAGTGGGCTGCTCAGTTGCTGCTGCATGACCCAAGTCACCAGGCAGCCCGTGCTCATCGTGGGAACACAGTGGGGGCTCAGAGCCTAGGGCAGCAGAGCAGGCCTGGAAGGCTGGGGATGGGGCCACAGCCTGGTGCTGAACTCTGCCTCACCCTCTTATCTAGTAATGCTCGGTAGTCATGGAGAAACATGTCAGAAATCGAGGAGGAGGGACTCTGAGCATATTTAGCTGCCAACACAAAAGCTCAAAACGCTCAGCAGTAGAAGGTGCTGGAGAAACAGTGTGGGTGAGCCCCAGAGGATGGTGGAGGAGCCTGTCCCTGACCCCACCAGACATGCTCTGTAGTTTAGAGCAGGTTGCGTCATCCCATGAGGGCAGAGCGGCTGGCCTGCCCAGGTCCCCCAGAGCCGTGTGACCAGGAGTAGAATCCAGAGTCAGACCTTGTCTTCCTTCCCCAGGAGGGGCCTCTAATCACAGAACTGAGACTGTGACAGAGGCACACACAGGGCCCTTGCAGAACAAAGTGGGAACAAAGGAGATTTGGTCTTTAAGTCCACTGTACTGATCACTAACAGAGTGAACAGAGTGAACAGATAAACACAGTGTGTTTATCTTCCAAATTTTTTAAAGGTAGAAGTGTAGTTCATACAATAGAAGGTAACAGAAGAGCACAAAGAAGCCTAACATAGACAGTTAAAATAGATCATGATTAATGACGGCATACACAGTCTGGATTCATAAATTAGGAAAGAGTCCAGATCTGATTCAAAAGCATAAGTCAGCAGTGCCGTTTTTTATTGGAAAGCTATAGAAAGGGAAAAGTCACAGAAACAAAACTAAGAAGTTGGTCAAATGCATGTGGTCACATACTGATTCAGAAAAGCATGAGTGATGTGCATATCAAACAGGAAACACTATAAAGCAAAGAATCTTAAGTGAAAAAAGGTTTATAATGGCATAAGGAATAGAATGTAAATAATATATGTTATTAGAGCAATGTGTATCTGAACAATAGTAGAAAGTATAAAAACCCGTAAGTAAAAGGTGAAGATAACTAACCCCATCCTGAAAAATAACTTCATATCTTGTGGAAATAAAATCAGGGTAAGAGGGGAGGAATAATAGAATTAATTGGCAGAATTGATGGACATATACAGAGTATCTGCAAAGAGAAATAGCCCTTTTTTCCCGGTGTCCTGCAGGAGGCTATGTTGACTTAAGATTTTGAAGGAAGAAAATGTAGAGGTTATGTTCTCTGGCCTTGCATTGCAAAAAAGTTCAAAATTGAAATATACATTTTAAACACTGTAAAGCTCAACGTTTTTAAACACTCTCCCAAGTAACTGAAACAAGGAGAAGGTGAAAGCCGGTTGCAGAATACGAATAAATGTTTGGCGTTGGAGGGCATGGGAAAGGTGGGGAGGCACTGTGGAGATGCCTGTTCAGCGAGTGTGTACTGGGTATTTACCATGTGCCAAACACTGCGTGAGGAACATGCTGAGGGAAAGAGAGGATTTCCGGCCCCAAGCAGCTAACAGTCTACTATTGGTGTATTTGGAGGATGTATCCTAAGTCCCAGAAACAGCTAAAGACCAAGGTAGGGGGGGGCGCCTGGGTGGCTCAGTCAGTTAAGCATCTGCCTGCGGCTCAGGTCGTGATCCCAGGGTCCTGGGATCAAGCCCCACATCGGGCCCCGCATCGGGCTCCCTGCTCAGCAAGGAGTCTGCTTCTCCCTCTCCTTCTGCCTGCCGCTCTGCCTACTTGTGCTCACTCTCTCTCTCTATCAAATAAAGAAATAAAATCTTTAAAAAAAAAAAAAAAAAAAAAGACCAAGGTAGGGCAAGATTTCCTTACGTAGTAGATGTATGTTCCATAGGAAATGGAGGTGAGGGGGTTCCAGGTCGTCTGAGGTAAGATGTATTAAGGAGATGGATGGGATTAAGTGTGGATGGAAGGTCATTCCAGCAAGGTCACAGCCTGAATGCAGGCTAAGCTCCTCAGGTGTCAGGTAGCGCAGGGAAGCACGCCTACCTGGGTTGAGCAATGCCAGGAGTCCTGGGAGAGGCTCCAGGTACTGGGAGTCCTTCCATCGCACACCGTCCTTGATTGGATTGTCCACAGGGAGGCACTGTGGGCTCTCAAAGAGGGAAAAAGCTTGACTGTGGTCTTACACAGTGCTCCAGAAAACCCCCTCCACTCAGCTGGCTCCACTTTGGTTTCACATGTGGGAATCCCACATAAGATTTTCCTCGAACACTGTTCACTGAACTTCATTGAGAAGTTTAAAAATACCTGAGAGAGGAGTCCCCACCATCCCCTGTGGTTTTGAGTAGCATCTCTCAAAGGGTGACCCACGGACCACCTGTATGGCTATCACCTGAGGAGCCTGTGAAACGGGGCCCAGCCCCCAGCTGCTGGATGAGCCACGCTGGGATAGGTCCTGGCTGTTGGTCCTCCTCACAAGATGGGCAGGAGGTTCTGATGCCCAGGCTGATCCAGGGGACTGCAGAGTGGGGATTGTACCACCGCTGCCTGTGCGAAGTCTCGTCTTTAGAGCTTAGAGTCGGACCGCAGCATAAGGAATGGAGAACATAGAAATGTTAGGTTAGGGTTAAATTTTAGTATGTGCACATTTCATTTAGTCTATATGTTTCCTAGGGATCGAGTAGGAAAACTCTCTTTTTGCCTACTATCGCTTGCAGCAGAGTTAACACCAGAGCCGCTCTGTGCCGGAGCTGGTGGGGTACATGGAGCCCTGCCGCCTCAGTCTCCCCACAAGGCCCCCCAAGGAGCCCTAGAGCGTGGAACGTAAGGTAACGACCCCTCTTACAGAAGCGGGAAGACGCCTTCCCCAGCTGCTAGAGGGGAGCAATGCTCAAGGAAGCCAGATCAAACTGGAAACTACGACAAAGGGAAACCCTGAATTGAGCACTTAGTATGTGCCAAGTGTTTTATGGGCATAACCTCCCAGAACTGCTATCCCCACTGTATAGATGGAGGAGCAGAGTCTCAGAGAGCTTGTTGCACAGTAAATGGTTCTGCCCGACTAGAACCAGACAGGCTAACTCAGGAGCTTGTTCTCTTTTGGAAACAACAAAGTGCTGTTTATGTGGGGGAGTTGTTATTAGAATAGTACAGCATCAGAGCTAGAAAAAATCTGAGAAGCAGTCTCACCACACAGAGCCAGACTCTAAATCCTGACTCTGTCACTTGCTTCCTATGTGACCTCAGGCAGCATGTCCGTTTCACCTCTCTGTACCCTCTACTTGCCCATCTATAAATTGGGTATGTCATGGGTCGGTTGTAAGGCTTAGATGAGATACTCAGTGTGTTATTTAGCACATGGTAAGAATGCCATAAAGAGTAACAACTATAATTATTTATAAAAAAAAAAAAAAAAAAAAGGCTCAATCTCCATACAAGAAGTGGTCATGTCTGCTGGGTTTGGAACCCTGGGCTGTCTGACTCCAGAATCTTGGCTGTTCTGATTTTCCACCTGCTCCCCCCGCCTCCCCCGGTAGCATTAGCAGATGGCTGTGTATCTGATGGGGGCTGTGCTCTGGACAAGAGCAGAAAGAGGGGGCTGGTCCCTAGCAGGTGCCCATGCCACCCACTCCACAATGCCAAGGGCCTGCCCTGGGGTAGCTGGGCCATGGATAGAATCCCCCCTGTGATGGCTAGCTGGTTTTCAGCAAAGCTTGTTTTAAAGCGTTTTTGCATTAGGGGAATTCCCCGTCCCTCCCATGGCTTTTGGTAAACAATTACTAATGTGTTCCAGAAAGCATTTGGTCCCAGCTGTAATAAAACCATGCTTAATAATTATTAGCATTTCTGTAGCACTTTGGAATCTGCTAAGTATGTTTCCCATATGTTGTCTCTGTTGATTCTCACAACTTTAGGATGGTGCCTTTGTAGATGGAGAAAATGAGGCTGGGGGTTGGGAACTTGCCTCATGTTAAATAGCTGGTCAGATAGAGGTAGGATTAGAATCTGTGTGAAGGTCTAGTCAGTGTCAGAACTCACCATTGCCGGGTGCCCCCCAGCTCCTCACCCAGCCTCCAATCTGAGCCCTTCCCTCCCGGAGCTATACCGCATGAGCTACCCAGTGTGAGCTGTTTGGCATCAAACTGCCTGAATACTCTACCTGGTTCAGCCAAGGTTGGGCGTCACTCTGTCGCACGTCAAGGAGAAGATTTGGGGTTTGCATGGCTCCAAGTCTTAACATCTCCAGGATGCTCTTTTGTTAAGGAACTCATTAAGTCTGCCCCAGGTTCATTCCTTCCTGAAGGAAACCTGTGGCGCATTTCATACTTTCCCTGAGTTGACCTTTCTATTTAAGCAAGGGAAGGTGTGTCCTTTGAGAACCAGCTTTCCTGGCAAAGGACCTTTGTGCCTGTCTCCATCCAGTGACCGGATGGCTTGCAACTTCTCTGCCTCCTTGTCCAGTGAAGACTTCTGCGGAGACTTTTAGAGTGAGGTTGATAGGAAATGAACCTCTCTCCTCCTCCCTCTCTGCACAGATATGAGCCGGGGCTACAGGGCTCCGCCAGAGACCACGTCCAGCTCAGAAACCCTCACACATCCCCCTTCAGCATCTTCCTCCTTTACAAAACCAGAAGCCCGTCTTTTTCTCTTTTGACCGATTTTCCCCTGAAGTCCCTCCTATATCACCCTTATAGGAAACATCCATTAGTGTCAAAACAAGTGACTCACTGGCTCCTGGGATGACTATAAAAGTTGATCTGGAAGGACTAAGATAGCTGAAGGCTTAATGAGAGGTTTGAAGTGACACACGTAGAAATTAGTGAAGGCAATTATACCTTCGAGATTAGAGTGCATACCTTAAAAAAAAAAAACCCATTTAAGAATTTTTCCAGATTTTTTTTTCCTTTAAGGAAAACGTTCTGTAATGTGCAGAATACTGGGAGCAAGTGTGAGGGCTTTAC